TTCTCAAACCCTCAAATCGTTCAAATTTTTGTCGTGAGCATCATTGATACAAGAGACATCTTTTTCCCAAACTGAAATTTAGAAAACTTTACAATTTTCAATTAGTTTACTTGCATATCCTTTTGTGTCGGTGTATTTACTTCATTTGCCCTTTTTGAGTCTGAAATACAATTCTGTACATTTTAGTTATCATAAGTTAATGAAAAAAATAATGCGCTTTTGTGAATTCAAAGTAAAACTTACACGGCGTCGAACAGAGTGCACAATTGAGCAATTTGAAAGTCAAAACGTCACGCTTGCGTAGGTCGATGATCGCATCTCGGTACACTGACTGCTTGGCCATTCTAAAGAGAGACATTTTTTGAGAAAAAATAGTAAGTAAACAGTTAAATAAACAAAATAAACGGAAAGAAAGACAAAAACAATATATAGGATGTAAAGCAAAAAATATGCAATATCAAAGATATCCCTAGTCTTCGTAATCCTGGACAACCCTTTACAGCTAAAACAACCAAAAAATGGATGAAGAGGTTGAAAATTAGTAAAATAGGAGATATTAAGCTTTTTAAAAGAAAAAGACTTTTTATTGAGTAGCAGGACAGAAATTGCTGGGAAATATAAGAAAGCGTGAGTTGAAGGAATGTTTGCGAGCCCGGGAATGAGGCCGGGGTTTCGATTGATTGCGTCTTTCCGCAGCTTCTCCGGGAAACGATGTGGGTTGCCCAGATTGACCCAATAATGGAAGGGACATCAACATTGTTTTTGCAGTCTGTGGCATTGTTATTGGCACTGGCACGTTAGGTGGTACATTGACTGGCGATGCTTGGTGGTGTAGTTGGCATCCGATGACTGGGCCCGAGTCATTTTCACTGATGAGACTAGAATTAATTTATACTACCCGGACGGTAACCATTTAATCAGAAGACCAATTGGACAACGTTATAAGCTCAAAGACGTTAAGCCAACGGTCAAATTCGGTGGTGGGAGTATTATGTTGTGGGGTAAGTGTTCGCCCTATTTTTTACTTACGATTTGTCTTTTTTAGGCTCGATGAATCGAAGTGTATCGGGACCGCTAGTGTTTATCAATGGAAATCTCGACGCTCAAAGGTACAAGTCAATCATAGAGAACATCTTACTTCCATTTGCAAACACGAACATGCCACAAGGATGGGCCTTATATCAAGACAACGCTCCATGCCACAAAAGTCAGCTAATGATCGGCCGAGTTGTCCGGCTTGCAAATGGAGGAAGAGCTCGCCTACCCGGCGTTTTTGCTGCTTATCGTGTAGAATTGATCAAAGTGCCTCCTTATTCGCCGTATTTGAATGTTATAGAGCATCTTTGGGCCCATTTAAAGACTAAACTCAGGGGCAAGATATTCAACACAAAGGTCGAGCTTTGGTTCTTTATCAGAAACGTTTGGCGACAAATTTCTTCGGGAATTCTACGTGATTTGGTAGATTCAATATATGAAAGCTTACAACTTAGGGTCCAGAAAAACCCCTTCACTTTAAAAGTTGTTTTCAAAAATTTTTCAGAAAAGTAAGTGGGACAAGAATTTTGCACCACAGTGTATAACAGAAATCTGATAAAATTGATATATTTCAACTAGTGAATTACTATGTATTTGGATCTATTTCAAACATTCACTTGTTAACTTTGCAGATCTCATTATGAGTTTCAATATAAGTACCAAAATCTCCCTCACATTTGAATTTCCCGTTCCATTCAAGAATAGTGCTAGAGAATTCTGGAATAGTGATCAGTGTTGATCAGTTCTAGACTGATCATCGGCCATTTCCAAGTTTGATCAGTTTGAGCAAGATTTCTTTGCTGTTTTGTCGCCTGTTTGTACCAAAAACTACCATTCCTGCGTCTGCGTTTGTTTGCAATGAATGTTTTTGCCGAGAAGGAACAAGGGGAATAAAAATTTGTCAATAAATAATAAACAGAGCAGACAAGAGCAGCAAGAATTCTGAGGCCAATCGGTTTTAATGGAAAGAATAAATAGAGTTAGATTGAGAATAGTCTCGATTTAATCCTTAAGGCAACTTTTAAAATAAATATGTGAGAAAAAGAAAATTATCTTTTTGGCAATTGAAATAATAATTCTTGCAAAGCATCAACTTTTCCCAAATTTTCTTTCGCAATCCATTTCCACGACGTCTTATCACCCAATTCAACCTTCCACTCCATTTTCACTCATTTTCCCTTTTCAAATCGCTTTCTTTTCTTTATTTGCCGATTTTTAGAAAGATGAGCTCGGAACTGAAGATTTTCCACTCATTGAACTGTTCTCTTTGCGAATCTCCTTGTGAGTTTTATCAATTACAAAAAGGAAAAGGGATTTCTAAGACTCAAAATTTTCTTGTTGAATTTTGCTGAAAATGATTAGTTGCAATTTCTGAAATCAGTCGTACTAATTATCACTTTATCTTGTATTCGAATCAAATCATGGCTTTCAGATTCGAAATCGAGTAATGTAACAAAAATGTACAGAATTGTATTTCAGACTCAAAAGCGGCAAATGAAGTAAATACACCAACACAAACTTATTGTTGTGTTATTCAAGCAGTGTGCATGAAATGTTATGAAGAACAAGGAGCAATAGCCCCAGCGATTCGAGCACATCAATGCGAAGAATACAATTGTTTCGGGTACAAGGGGCATCCTTCATATTGCTTGATGGGTGAGTAAACTTTAAAGCAATCAAAGAAAATTCTCTTTGAAAAACAAACACAATCAGATTGCTTTAGAATTGCTCTCAAGTGGGTGCTTTACGTTGAATAAAGATTCCACGGGATACGTTCAAACAACTCAATCAATCACAATTCCGGAGTGTCCGATTTGTAATGAAGAATGTGGGTGATTTCATTGTACACTTAGAAAATCATGAAACATTAGACTCAATAGAAAACTCACAAAGAGAACCATTCATCCTCTACTGTGGCCATGGGGTATGTAATGGGTGTTTTGCTAAAATGTCTAAACCAATAACCCATCCGAACTTCCAATATGCTCTCGAATGTCCACAATGCAAAGGGAACTATTGGTATGCTCAAGAATCATGGGAGAATCCACTGAAAAGTTGGTTGCTTTCTATCATACTTGAATCGTTAAAATCATCCAGTCTTTTTGCGAGAACTGTCCGAGAAACGACAAATTGAATTGAAAAGAACATGTGGCGATTGCGAGAAAGAGGTTTTCCTCTAGATTTAACGTTGTCAAAATCTATTTAGGCGCCTTTGTTTGAAATGTTTCAATGTAACGATTGTGGAAAAGTCGTGGTTCGTTGAGAAAAGATTTCTGAAAATAGAAGTTTATTTTTGGATAATTGTGTGCATATTTCAGTTAACGCTTTCAGGGATGTTAGAGAATTTCAAAAACTACGCTCATGTGATGTGTAAAATGAAAGTATAAATCAAGGTTTAGTTCTGTGCTTTATGTGGAATGAGAAAGCATCACTCGCATAAATTTGTCGATTTGGGAGTTGTAGAGGTAGGAAAAAAAGAATCTACAAATAGCGAGAAGAACATTCCATTTTCAGGTGAAGAAATTCATGAATTCAACTTATGAAGTGATCACCCCGCAAATTAAAGCTTATGATGTCTGTCTTCCCGAACTTCAAGCGGATTTGATTCAAAAAATCCACACTTTTCAAGCGGTAAATTTTTCAAATTTTTTTGATAAATTCCAAAGATTCTTCAGAGAGCTCTTGAAAAAGCCGGCAAAATTGAGGGGTTAAATTATGATCCAGCAGAGTACGAAAAGGCAGATTGTTTGTAAGTTCATAGAATTTTGAAAAACAAAAAACAACTTTCAGAGCTATTGCTGAGAAATTTGAGGGGATTTGTGAGAAATATTTGGGCGATTTGCGATCATGCAACACTGGGATTGAGGCTTAGTTTCAAAATAGGGCATTTCTTATTCTCAAAGTTTAGAAGCTCCTCAGCAACTTCAATGAATCAAAATAAACTTCATAAGATCTCTTGGAGTTACGGATTTTAGCTTCTTTATGTAACTTGTTGTTAATAGAGCTGATTTCAACCATTCTATTTGATTAAGAATTTGATTTGAAAAATAGATTGAACTGACTCTTTTATTTTGTTTGCTTTCTCATTCATCTGAATTATTTTTTATTATAATTATAAATGTGAAAACATGATTGTTTCAATGTGATAACACCACCATCGGATTGTTTAATGGGCGAGTGAAAGGAAATGAGCTACAGGATGATTAGAAATACGCCCAAAATATGGACTAAGCTCAAGTATTCTGAACTAAAATACCTAAATTTATGATTATCTATAACAAAAATCGAAAGAAGCAGCAAAAGCAAATTCTTGGTACAAGGATCTTTTTTTACGAATGACCGACAACCTCAACCTTGTCCGAACCCGGAGCAAAAACAGCTCTGCTGTTGAAACAAGACCCCAACCCAGTGACACAAAGATTATAAGAATCCCACGATGTGTTATAGATAATACAATGCAAATCCCAATTGTTACATTCAGATGAGATGCTTCCATTCATCGAGGGATTGAGCATTGAAACGATTGATGGAGTGCATGAATTGGCTAGATATAAATCACGAAGTGTAACAAAGTAAGGAATTTCCTGAAGAATAAACAGTTTCTCCATTGTTTAGTAGGGGAGAGGGGTGTAACTTAGCGACTCAGCGCTAGCTTTTCTTCCCGAGGTTTTTTGAGCATGAAATTTGCTTTTTATAAATTCCGATTCAAAATTTTTGAAAATTTCTTTAGTATTATATTATAATAATTTATATTTACTTAGGCTTCGTTCCAAAGAACGCGTTAAACACAGTGCTAGATCAACTAGAAACCAGAGTCGACCCCTTCAACTGGCGCAACACTACATCGGAGCACACCTAAAATATGATTAATGAATTTTGCCATTTATTCAAAGTAAAAACAAATAACATATGTAATAAAAAGAAGAGAATGTACCCGTTCATCACAAAAAAAATGTACACATTCAATTATTAGTCCTTGCTCCTCTGACAGCGGCCTGAATCTGTTCGACGAAGTAGCGATCCGCGATTCCATCACAGAGTCTAAAAGATGTAAATGAATTGAAATTACCCGGATTTTTTGGTGGTTGCCAGAAATGAGAATAGTAAATCTAATTGTAACTAAGCTAACTTCAAAATCGTCTCGGGATGCTCACTGAGAAGAGCTTGTGCGCGTGTTTGGTGCGAATCCAAGTATCGTAAGCATGTCCTCAAAATCGTCTCATTGATCGTTTGGCGTTTCTCCAAAAGATGTCGCTAAATAACAATGAATTTGAAAAATTGACAAAAGTCTTACCTCAGCAAACGAAATCAGGACTGAAATCAAAGCGTCGATGTGTTCCAGTGTTCCTTGTTCGGCGACGGGTATCAATTGATAGAGAACACGAATCGAGAAGGCAACCAGTGACCTAAATGAAACTTTAGTAATTTCCACAAGGTTTCACGCCAAAATGTAGCTGAAACCAACATTCGCTCTTTGACATTCCGCGAATTCATCGACACCAATTGTGCAAGCAATCTTGATAGCATTCCGATTTGTCTAAAGATAAGTCTTAAATTGATATTGATAGATAAATACTACCTTTCAATGATTTTTGGATAAACTCTCAACAATGTTTCGAGTTGATCCACCATTTTCTTCGCATTCTCCGGATTTGTTGCCTAAAATATCAAGATTCTTGAAAGATATCAGAAGTTTTACGCTAAATGCCCCGGTGAGCAGTTGGGTTGCTTTATTGTCCGACTCATCGGCACGCCAATTCACAAAGGATAGCAACGCCAAGCCGTTGATCATATCAACTTGCAAGCCTGAAAAAAACACTCGAAACACTAAGAACCCGACACTTACAAGGATATCTTTCGTTTACATTTGAGATCAGTCGTTTAATTGGCTCTTGTTTAACCAAGCCGAGTCCTAGGCTTGCCTCTCGTATGCAAGTTTCGATGATTGGACGAAGAACTCGTGAACCGGCAGATGTTTCCTAAAATCAGCATCTTTAATGAAAAAGAGTCAGGCTTGTTCAAGAAAAATCTTATATGTCTTATGAGGTTGTGATCGGAGAATTCGATATCCGCCGAGGATTCCTCATGCCTTTTTAGGTTACCTACCACAGCAACAACAATTGAGACGGCCAACTCGTCAAACTTCGTGTCGACCAACACAGCAGCACACAAGTATTGAGCAAGCACATTTAACTAAATTCAAATCTTTAACATTTTAAAAATTGTAATTAAACCTGTGCATCGTTAGCCTTCTTGAAGACTAAACCATTTCCACTGTTCGCACAAAATGATAGAAATGACAGCACAGATGAGGGATTCAACCTGAAATTTAGAGATTGAAAGTCCACGCAAAGCATTTACTTGGAATTGAAATTTGAGAGAAGAAAGGCGAGAATCGATACCATCGTTTCGGGGAGACAATGTTGCGGTAATTGGGAGCAAAGCCAGACAACTGTTTGACTAAAACTAGATGATAACAAAGATTGTTAAGTCTTTTTTTACTTCTTGGATAGAAACAACGCCTCTGCTTGTTCCATCATATGCTTTCCACCATCGACAATCTCGGGGCGGAATTGAAGAAAGTAAGCAACAAGGCTAAAATTTAACGTCTAATCAATTTTGTTAATAACATACCGTGAACGTTCGGCATTGTTTATATCGTCTTTTTCCTGTAGTTGTTTAAGGACATCGTCAGCGTTATTCAATTGAACCTAAACAGTTTTTTTAAAAAAGAACCACATTTAAACGTTACCTTCTGCATTTTCTTTGCTGTTGCTATTGTCGATGCAAAATTCTGCAAAATCCCCGCAACAACCGGTGGTGGTTGAGCGCCTTTCAAAACCTAAGTTAAATATTAACGGTTTACATTAAGTGACAAACCTTTATTGACCACGTAGCAAGCTGCGTTTGAACTGCCGGAAACTAAAGGTAAATTTTATGGATGGATAGTTTAAAAATAAGAATACCCTTTCAGCCGCTGAGCTCAACAAGAGCATGATTTGTAGAAAAGTGTCTGGATGATCGAGTAAATACTAAACCAAAAACTTTAAAAGAAAATCGAAGCATCTTAAATAGTTCTTTTCTAATCACAAACCTTTAAACTACCTTCAACGAGTTCCAGGCACTCCAATGCAACTTTTTCATTCGAGTAGATGCTGCAGACTTCAGAACTTTCAAAGTTCAACTCACTAAATTATTTACCTTGCTTCGAGGCAAATTGTAAAACTGACCTAGATGCAGCAATGGCCGTCTTTATCTTATTCACAATATCTTTCGCATCCAATAATTGTGGCATCATGCACGTAGGTGGAGGTGATTGTCGCGGCAGCGGATCGCAGATAAGAAACTAAATAATGCTAACTGTTAGCTGAGTATTAAAATATTTACTTCATGCGCTTCCTCTTTATTGACTTCTGGTTGTTTTTTGTTGTTCAACACCTTCACGAATTGATCGCCACCTTTCGCCCCTCTCGTTCGATAACCGATTGCAAATGGAAGAGTTTTGAGAGCTTCGGGAAGATCAACTAAAAAACAAAACTTTATTATTAAACTGTAATATAGAACGGATTTAAACTTTTAACAAACTCACCCAAGTCAATCTTAAGTTTGTCGAGCATCAAAAGTAGACGAGAAGCACAATTTAGAGCTAATCCGAATCGTCGTAAAAGAGCCACAGCCGATTCAGGAGTGATTCCAGATAAAGCAACCTAGAAATAGATTATAAGTGATTTCTAGTGGTGCAAACATTGACAATTCGTTCATCTTCCGTACACAACATACTCGCCAAGAGTGTCTCATTAAAGATGTTCAACGTTTCGTTCTTTTGCATCACTTGCACCTTTGAGCCATCCTGCAAAGGAATTATCGCTAATTTTATCTAAAAAAACATTAAATACTTCAGGGAACCATAAATCGAGTAATTCTTTTCGTGCAACTCCATTTTCTGAATGCAACGATGAGCAGAGGAGTTGAATTTGAGAAAGAATCACATCATAATCGAGATGAATCTAAAGAAATTGATCGCTGAAATGACCTTGATAATATTGCCAACACTAACCTTTCCTTTCTTAAACTGTACTACACAAAGATTGTCGCTGGTAAGGTCAACTTCTCCACGTTCTTTCATAGCTTGATTATATCTAAAACATCAAACTTAAATTGCTAATCGTAATTCGAAAACCTTAAATGAAGATTGAGCATCTCTGTTTTGATTGTTTGATCTTTCATAAGCCCAATTGGTGAAAGTATTCTGACAACCTAAATTGGGGAAGTTATTGAAGAAAGCTTAAAGTTCACCTTTCCAAAATCGTCTTGCGGAGAAACATGATCATTGATGAACTTCAAATATTTCTTCAGATGCCCTGAATTCGTTTCAAACTTGCACGCTCTAAAGCAGATATTTAGCATAAGAATTGCCTTTTTCACTTGCCCGGCCAATGAGATGATGAATGAATAACGCTCCGTTCCGAAATTTCCCAAAGTAGGGACGATTTGAAGAAACTCGACAGGGTCATCGTCATCATCAATTGATTCGAATTTCTAAATTTAGGAAGTATTTACAAAATCAACATAAAGCTAAACACAAATCGCTGTTGCAGTACCGAGCTCTGGAATGCACAAACTTCAAACCTGTGAATAGATCGTGTTCAGAATTTTTAGCATCGCTGTTCGTTGATTTGGATCCCGTGCATTAGTCAGTTTATCCAAGATGAAGAACAAAACTTTTGTGTCCGATTTGGATGATTCCATTAAGCGCTCAAATATCTAGAAAATTATTTTAGATAGGAGCATTAATACAAGTAACCTTTTCTTTTTGAACCATCCAATTATCATCTGAGCCTGAAGTTTCATCGATTGATCGTAGGAGTACAACTTCACAAAGTGCCTCAAGGGAAAGCGTGGAAATGGCTCCAGGATCTCGATTGATGAATGACTAAAAACAGGTATTTAATAACTGTTATTATTCTAAAAAATATATATTTCATAATTTAGTCTTAGAGCGGCAATTCTCTGCATTGATGTGCTTGTACAAGTTGTCTGTTTTATTGCTATATCCGAAAAACCATACCGTAATTGCATAAAGTGCTTCACCGGTGCCGACAAGTTCGATGAATTCGTGCAGAAGGTCGGGAGAACGAGTTTCGCATAGACGAGCGCCAATCTAATCATCAATTAATCCCATTTTGTCAACAGCGTATCAAACCTTGTGCGCTTTGCAAAATGCTCCGATAGAAGCGATGAGTTCAGCCGGTGGAGCACGATATATATCACTAAATTTGGATATGTACTTGCTTAATAATCGATCAAACCTCATCGGATTGACAAAGCAGATTTTGTTAAGTTCGCTTTCTTCCAGTGAAAGGTTTGCATTGTGAGAATCGGCCTATACAAATGAATTAGAAGCATTTGATGAGTATCCCTTTTGGATAGCTGAACTTGTGGGAAGCTTCAAAAATAATCCGACCTTTTCGATCTCAAGAATCACACGCTGTTGTTCTTTCATCAACGAATTTTCATTTTCTTTGATCTTCTTTGCAAGTGTGGCCGGTAAAACCACATTTCTAAACTCGGGTCAATTAAAAATTAAAATTAGCTACATACTCCGTTATTCCAACCAGCATCAAAAGGCGCAGATTCGCATATTTTTGGTGAACATTCTAAAAGAGATAACGTTTAAAATTGCAAGTAGAAACCTTCAACAATGTCGACGTTCCCAAACAAGTCCACACGAAAGTGACAAATGTGATTCGCCAAAACAGATCGACGATGAAGAGTGGAGATGGTTGATTACTAAACAATGGAGAAATTGTTTATTCTTCAGGAAATTCCTTACTTTGTTACACTCCGTGATTTATATCTAGCCAATTCATACACTGCATCAATCGTTTCAATGCTCAATCCCTCGATGAATGGAAGCATCTCATCTGAATGTAACAATTGGGATTTGCGTAGTATTATCTATAATACATCGTGGGATTCTTATAATCTTTGTATCAGTTGCGTAAATGGTAACAAAAACTCAAATCGATCAAACCAACCAGCAAATGTCAAATTTTTCGCGAGCCTTTCCGTGATCAAGTGTAGAATTTGAATGCAATCTGTTTGTTGAAGTGATTGATCAGAGATAATCTGTGAAAAGTGCAATAAGTCGATTTGAAATGTTCACAAACCAAAGAAATCAATCTCGTCGTTGGATGAGTTTCAGCAATGATTCGTTGACATATTGCCCATTCCGGTTCACTCGGCCCACCATCGGTGTTGATCAAGAAGGAGCCCTAATCTCATACTGTATTTTACATTAAATGATTCGAACTTTATCCAGAAACAATATTGAATACAATCGCAGCACATAATCCTTTTTGTCATCAAACATTGAGCAAGCCGAACGGAGCCACCTAAAAAAACTTGATTGTAACCAAAACGCAAAACCAGGGTTGGGCGCCAATCAATGACACCAAACGTGGATAAATTTAGCAGCCCATGAACGATTTTAAAAATCGACCCAACTCTAATGACAACAGATTCAGCTCGCTGGAGAATTTGAGAAATGAAATGAACACACAATAAAAGAAAATTAAATGGAATAGTTTGCAAATATTTATTCCGTCTTTTCGGAATTCAATCATTGCTGCCTTAAGTGCTCAAACCCAGCTCTGACCCTTTTTTCTACTCGGAATATTTTTTAAACTCACTTGATTCCATTCTCGTAGTGCTCATTGAGTTCATTTGAGAAACGATTGAAAATCGTTGTGTTGAAAGCTTCGCCTTGTCGTCTTTTTGAGAATTCGTCGCGTACCTATTTGAAAGTTTAAAATGTGATCCAAATTTATTACTTGTTGAGAAATCCCGATCCACACAATCAAACTGCAAATTGAGAGAGTTGTCTTCATGACGGTTTCGTCCTAAAGTTTCATTATTAAAATTTCGAACGGATTAAAACTTAATCTTTAAAAGCTAAAAATTAAGTTTTCAAGAACACATCAAGAAGCATACGTTAAAATGTTTCCCGGAGAACATTCTCGTACTACAACTATTTAAATACGCAGCAAGGAAGCGCGAAAACGAGAAATCAGCTCGGAGATGGGATCTAAAATCAATTCATACAAGATTGAGTATCAAAAAATTAATTTAACCTGATAAGTTCTCGTATCATAATGCACGCGGCTCGAATCATATCCTGACGCTCGAAAAGAATATCACACATTTCTTCGGCGAAAACCTAAAAAAATTAGTTAATAAATTGTAATTAATCGCTATGTACCAAAGTTTGACTCCCATATGAGCCGATCTTCTACAAATTCAGAAATGACAAACCTTTGTCTGGAGTGAATTGTTGTGTTGAAACATCGACTGAAGAAGAATCATATTGTGGGGCGATCTAAAAAATTGTGGTACTTTTCCCGTATGCCACCCCAAGTGCATCCCCATGATACCACCGCAAATAAGCGTAGCATAATGGGATTGTGATGGTTCGTATGTCGGGTTGGAAGGGGTAGTAGAATGCGATTGTGATGGTTCTTTTGTTGGGATATTTTAGTGGAGGAGTAGTAGAATTGTTTAACAACCAATGTCAAATGTACCTCGTTGCTTGTGGACCAAATTCGTTGAGTGCAAGTTCCTTGGTGAAAATTCGACAATTCTCCGCATTCGTTGTGATGTGGTTTGTGAGTGCATTGAAAACAGATTGCACCTAGAAGCTTCTACCTAGGTGAAACTTCGAAGGCTTTCCAAACCTGTTTACTCTTCAAACTCTTCATCCGCAACAAATGACCGATTGCTTCAGCATCGTGTTTCTAAACAAATCATTTCCAATTTTACAATAAATGTTTATTCGATTACATTCGTAAGGTCCTCAATGTTGACACCGAGGAAGAATAGAAGTTCCAAAGCCTGTTTTTGAACCTGAAAAAAAGAAATTTCTGATTAAAGTTTGGGTAAACCTTAGGATTTTGCAACCAATTGTCCATTCGCGATGCTGCCGCAAGTCTGATTTCACCAAGTCCTAGAAAAATTTAAACTAACAATAAACTGTATCTTTTAATTATACCACAAAAGACGGTGAGCGTGCGCAGAAGTTTCGGCGAATCGGTCTGTTGTTCCAATGATCGCCGTAAAAACTAAAGCGCATGTCTAACCAAAAAAGCCAACTGAGAATTACCGTGAGTGCATCCGCAACAATGTTAATCCTCAGCGGTGGCAGTGTTTCGTCTTCTTTGTCCTCACTCGGTTCTAAAAATTTAAATTGATTACTAACGCAAATGCAAGAATTGTTTTATTTTTCAACATTCAACTACTTGCACTAGCGCTTTATACTCAAGTTGCACTCTGGAAAATTCGGTATCATTATTCTGACACTAGTTTGGTTGCTTGTATCAGATCAGTAGATACGTGGATGGATCTATTGAAAAAATTGAGAGTGAATAAATAAGGCATGGATCTATTTTTGGCAAGTTATTTCTTTTTGCTGTGCTATTACAATTATCTTTTCTAATAAAACTCTAAAAAGTACGTTTTCCAGTCTCCTTCTCCTTTCGTCGTCTCTTCTGTTCTTTTTCTCGTTCCTCTTCCGTCATCCCTTCTGTATTTGGCGGAAATTTGTCAACGGCATCCTAAAAACTTCACTGTAAAAGCAAATTTTTGTGCACTTACTGAATTAGGAATCCATGCAGGCGGTGAAATTTCCCCGGCGGTCATTTTGTACAGCACTGAATCAAGCGATGGAAACTTCGTGTTGAATCGTTTCAAAATCAACGAGACGAGTTGTTCACTGTGCGGCTAAAACATGTTATATTAAGACTCTCAAGAAAAAGTACAACAAACCTTGTCAATCCAAATGCGTTCTCCCAAACAATCGGCAAGAAATGCTTGCAGGAGAAATGGATGTAATTGGGGTTGATCCTAAAATATTAAACGTTAAAAACACTGATTTATTTGAATTCAGTAACACTAGCGATCTTTAAACGACAAAGTTTAGCGGAAATTTTTAGAATCAAATTGAGAACGTTAAGCAAATCCTGCAAAAAAAACTATTCGCTCTTTCACTTACCATTGCCAATCGTGTAATCATCGCAACAAATAATCCTTGTTTCACACTCGGGGAATTTTTCATCATCGATAGACCCCAAAAGAGCACTTTGTACATGAAGACATTCTAAAAATTTCATTAAAATAATAAAAAAAGATATTACATACCGTTAGCTTTTCACCGTTTCCAGTAATAATTTTGCCAATCTGCGCCATTTGTTCCGCATCGAATGCTCCTTTCGATGTTGTTTGTGACTTTTTTATCACCTTCAGCAAGTAGGCCACAATCAAGCGGCAAGCCTAAAGTTGAGTTTAAACATCATGGAATCAATCAAACTTTGTTATACTTTGCTTCATCAATTGCCTTATTAATCGCTTCATTAAAGTTCGCTTCGTCAATCTAAAAAAATAGTGTGTTATTCGTTTAGAAACAAGAAACGTACCTCATTACATTTCCCCTTTGCAGCAAAAGCTTGTAGATCTTCGAGTTCAATTAACGGGCGTTGAACGGGTTGCACTGAAAGAAACTTTATAAATTTTAAATGAATAACTTGAACAACCTGCAGAAGAGGATGGTTCCTCGTTTCGTGGTTTCTTCGTCAAAGGAATGGCGTTGTGAGCAGAGACCTGTAATTTTAAAACCATTAATTGAAAACACTTTCAGTTATTACCAATGCTTGTTAATTGTTACAATTCTTCAAACCTAATTTACTCAGAGGTTTCGCAATGTTTGACACGTTCGGTCAAACCAGTCTACCCTTACCATTGAAATCGGTCGTTTTCCTGGTCCAATTGCATTGATCGATGGACGGGGTCTCATCGCGACATCTTCGGGCCTCAGTGAGCCTGTTGGAAGCATGGGCTTTTTCAGCTTTCTCGGAAGCCCACTCATCCTGAAATCAGACAAGTAAAATACATATTTGGAGTCAGTTTGACACAAATTATTGTTAGCGAGATTCATATTGAGGAGGACTAACACTAGTTTTGCTTTCACATACACGATTCAACAATTGCCTTGAGCATCCCGTGAATCAGTTAAAAATTTCGGAGCGATTAAACCGATTGATCCAATAAACCAACTACAAATCCAATCAGCATTAAAAGATTTATTTGCAATATCACCGGGGAATAAAAAAATTTATTAACGCAATATCACATCTACACTATTCGATTAATCATTTGGTACGAAGAATTGCTTGCAGCTGTGATCCGTTTGTGCCTTCTCCAGAGCCAATTGGTGCTAAACCAAACTATTTAAAGTGATAGGAAGATGCTATAAGGTAATTTTATCGCTTCAAAAAAATAAATATCCAGAAATTAAAACTCATCCTTTTAGTGATTCGATAAACACAAAACACACTCACTTCTTCAAGTTTCCTCGCGACAAGCTGTGGAGGATGAAATTTCCCCGTTTTAATCCACTCCCCAAGTTGTTCATACATCATGACTCGTTCCTGAAAGTGAAATTTTTGATAAAAAAGAAACCGTATGTTTACCTTTACATTATCCTTGTTCTCATACCATCTACTCATCCAAAAACCGCAAAGTTTGATATCCTTGAAGATTAATGGTCCAGTTGGAATCTAGACTTTAAAAAAAATAAAAAATGGAGAAAAATTTCTACCGAAAGTGGTTGTTTGCTCATTCCACCATATGTGACCATAACTCCATTATGATCAAGTGCCATTGCAAGAAGTAAAGCCGATCGACCACCAACACAATTCAATGCCAGTGACGGGTTGAATTTGCCTCGATATTCCTAAGCGAGAGAAGTTTAAGCACGGATTACTAAAAGCGACTTCTAACTGATTATATCACGGAAATTTCACAAACCTTAATCAATTGTTCTTCTGTGATTACCAAATCCGCGCCCAAACTTTTCATGTGCTCCTCGAGTTTCTTTTGCGCATCCGGTGTTTCTCGTTTGCGAACAATGTTCACACTCTTGATTCCACGTGCACGGCATATCTAAATATCAAAAATTATGATCAAAATCGAAATCAAAAAAATTTATATTGCCTTGAATTGTGCCTAATAAAAGCCTAATAAAAATATCTACCTAGTTTTTAGCCGACTATTTTGAAAAAAATAGAACGGACTTTTCAAGCTTGAGATGGAACTTAGAAACTGGAATTTTTTGGTCTACTGTCGCTACGACATTTCTTAATACACTTGTCATAAAACAACAACATAGGTTTGCAAATAATGCGAATAATGGTGTCATGGTGTTGGAGGGTGATATTAGCTTGGAAAGAAAGTTTCCGGAAAAAGTTTGACTGGAATTTCTTAAAAACGAATCCACCAATTCAAGAACATTTTGTTCTATTATTTACAAGTCGACTTCAAGAAATTACTCGTAAAAAAAATGAGTGCAGCTTTCCCCTAAAATTTTTGAAAAATGATTATTTTCCAGTTCAAATTCATCTCACTTTTTGCACCAGAAAAACGATTCCTTATGAGGTAAAGCTAAATGAGCAATACGCTCTATAATCTCTATTTTTGGCCAAAAATTTTTTACAGAGAAGCTGTATTTCAAAAAATAATTTTTTCGTGTCATCTTCTTGGCACTGAGTGTTTGCTAAAATAGGTGATTCTGAAAAGTTAAAGCATTAGATAAAATTTGCCTTGATCACAAATTTTTCTTATTTTAAGTACTTGATTGTAGGTTTTGAATGGGACCCATTGCCTATTCATTAACCCATTAAAAACTTTTCTAAAGGCTGGCCACTCAAAAAGTGACCAAGTCACTTCAGCTGAAGAAATCTCTGATTTTTTTACCAGAAGCCCACTCTTATTTTTTTATCAAAACTTTTTAAAATCTAGTCAATTTTATCAAAAAATCTGGGAAGAATTCATGGCTTGATTTTTGAGAAATCACCGTGCAAACTTTTTCCGAGAACTTTCTTTCCAACCTAATAGTAACAATTTACACTTTCGTGAATGCTGGTGAAGAAGTCGTAAATGAGCCCACGTTTGACGCTCCACCAACATCGAGGTTCACTCTTAGTTTGATGTGAAAATGATTACAATCACCATGCCCGTGTTGAGATTTATAATTGCATTAAGGGAAAAACACACTTGCACAACCGCTTGTCCGACCGCAGAATTGGCTCCATTTTGAATTATCGTATCACCTTCCTTCAGCACAACAAAATCAGTCAACATCCGATATGCTGTAGGAGGATTTACCTAAATATTGCATTTCAACTGAATTCTAAACAATTTACTTGTAACGTAGCTTTACTCGTCGATGGCAAAGATGCGTCAATCTTGAACACATCCAATTCACTAAATTGATCATACGTCTTAAATGTGACCAATCTTAAATACGCAATTTTACCTTAAATACGCATCCGAGCACCATGTTCCCAATCCAGATTTTGCGGGTATCACGTGATCGCCAACTTTCAGAGAGCGAACTTCTGTACCAATCTGAATTCAAATTAAATAAATCAATAATTGCTAGCTTACAGCTTCTATTTGTCCATATCCTTCAGAACCTCCAACTGCGGGCATCGGTGGCTTGATCGGATAAACACCCTAAAGAAAAAAGCTAGATAATTTGAAAACGGTTTCAATAAGGCAGATGTTGAGCTTTACTAGTTCCAAAGAAATCATACCTTACCTGAATTTGATTTATGTCGGCAGGGTTAATAGGAGTGCCCAACCACTTTACGTGCACCGATTTGTTCTCAAGTTTCTTTGGTAGGTCGTATTGCTGGAGAAGAATCGCCTAAATTTAAATGTTTCATAAAAATTGCAAAGCAGTTCAACAATCTTTATAATAAGAAAATTAAACGATTAACCACTCTAACCTTTCGTGATCATTATCCATAACGAAAAACCCGGCTTACCTTCGCCGGATCACCAAAATTCTCGTAAACGAGCCTTCTCGATGAAATCGTCCTTCTACCGAATGAGTTTACTTTTTGAGCCGAACGTCGTAGACAAGTCAACATCTCTGAAAAAAATAAAATTTAGATCAGTAAGGTTCAAAGGGACAATGACGACAAATCACAAAGCAAACGAAAACAGAAGAGAAAATCTTTTTGAATTTGAATTTGAACTGAATATCTTGTTGACTTCACAAGGGTATAAATCACTTGAATCAACATCATTTCTCATTCATTTTTTATTTCTTTCGAATGACTGGTCTACTCACTTCACCGCTTTCTTCTAATACGAATGCTGCAAAACGTTTTCAACTTAGCCAGGGTAAGGATTTTTGAACTTTAAACGGTATTATCTCGATCTCAAGCAGATTTGTGCTACTTTTAGCAAGTGTTGTTTCTGAGCGAATTGAATGGTGATAGCTTTAGAACGTTTAAAGCACTTTAGAGTGGTGTTTTGCAGCATTACAAACCTCAATCTTACAAAATTCGTTGACTTAGCCATCAAAAACTGCAAAAGAAAGGAATCGGGTTGAGTTCGCCATACTGAATAAAAGTGGTGGTAGAAAAGGTGGTTTTAGCCTGTAAAAGGTGGCTGGAGGAATGTCAAAGACTATTTTTGTACAAGATTGATTTACAGAGCACTATTTTGACTGTACCGTAACGTTTCTCGTTCTTATTAACCCATTTTCTTTTAGTCACCGATTCGCAACTCTCGACAAGCCCTGTGTGTCGGATCTGTTTTGCGCAAAATGACGACGTCAACACGAAGCTGATTCGGCCGTGCAACTGCAAGGGATCTGTCGCCTACATTCACAACCGATGTCTACTTCAATGGGTCACGACAACAAATAAAAAGGTGGAGCTATCATTTCATTAGAGGGCTGTACATTGTATTTGAAGTAAACCATTATTTAAACAGAAATATGATCCACTTTTGAATTGAGCAACCTATGCTCTATGAGCTACGAAACGAATTGAACTTATGACAGGTGCTACAAATCGCGGTACAGTTGTGCCATTATAATTGCACGGACAAATTAGCTTTATATTTTCGCCCTCAAAATTTATGTTTGCCACGTAGAGCATGTTGAGAGTTGCAAATCGATGACTCGGAGAAAATTGTGAATTGAGAAAAAGAAACAAAGAAATCTTGGGTAATTGTTCATAAATGACTAATTTTTTTTCTCATTTCAAATTGTGCTATTTAGGTTTGTGAGATTTGCACATACCCCTACGAAATGATCACCGATGGATTGAAACCGATGAAAGAATGGAAGTGGCCACACGCTTTAGATGATTCATGGGAGGACGAGGTTAAAGAGAGGATTCAATTGCTTGTAAAACTTATTTTTTAGCTTGACTTTCGTTGTTCAATTGCCTGGTTGATGTTCATGTCAATAATCTTTTTTTCGGTCGTCAGGTCAGTCATATCATTGAATATTATACGTATTTTATTCTCAGAAATGGTCTATCCGATCTGCCAAATGTCATCGGCTCTGTTATTGGAAACAGCACAATCTGGTATAAATTGTGGTAAGTGGTTCAATTTTCGTCCAAGTCTAGGTTTTTTTAAGGTGGCTAACGTTTTTTCTCAATGGGCTCTACTATGGATCAATTGTGCTTTTGGTGTACGATCAATGGATGTTCGAAAATTCCCGCTTCAAATTCAAAAATCGCGATGAGGCTGATGTGTAAGTGCTTATTGGACAGTCATAGGAAATTAAACAAGGAGATTTAACTTTTGAATATCCCCGTATCTATCTAATGTACTTTTTTAGTTTAACTGCCCGAACCACGTCAACGCATTCGATCAACGATGAGAAAAGACTTCACAACCGATTGGAATAAACGATACTTGGAAAGATTTAGTTAATGTGAGGTAATAAATTATTTAGATTTTTTATTTTTATAGAGTTTAAATGTTTAATGAAATGAAAAAATAGAAAAGAACTTGAAAGTTCGAAGTGATTGAAAGAGGACACTTTAGCGATTTTCATGTCGTAGCGGAAAAGGCTCAATGGTTTACGGTAGCATTGACAACGTTTAAAATATTCTGCTGCTCTCCTAGCGTTCCACTGATTTGTTGACTGGTATTTTACAACTGTTGGCTTTGATAACGAAAATTTATGTTGCAGTTTATTAGAAAAGTACTATTTTGTCTTTTTTAGGGAATTTCCTTGTGATTTGGGTACTCGCACGGCTGGCATTTTGCTGGGAACTGAAAATTTTTGGTTGAATATCATCTTTGCAATGCTTTTCACGAATCTAGCCATCATTTTTTTTGCTTACGTTAGTCCCCGGTCCACATTCGGCATCAGCTGGGCACAAAGCGCAACACTTTTCACCCTGGAATTTGAAAAGTTGAATTCTCTAGAGTTTTCTTCTGGGAAACAGTCCGAGAGATCTAGCTCGGATCAATAGTCAGTCAAATTTCAGGATACTGTAACATGAACGGAAATATAGGAGTGAACTTGTGATTACGGTAAATCACTCACCTCCACTGAGCACTCCGCTGAGCTAAAGCACTCCTAAAAAGCGATAGTTTGAGGGGTTTCCGTATTCAATTCGTTTTTCGTTCCAACCTGTCCAATATCCCGCGAGAATCGTCCCTTTGCGGCAATGATTTGAATGAAAATGAGCATCAGGAAGAAAAATCTCATTCTAGATTTTGGAAAAAGGTTACCGTAATCCTAATTTAAAAACAACGCCAAAATAAAGTTTCAAATGACGTTTTGGGGAATTTTTTTTTCAGATGGCCAAGAGCTGCTTTGTTTACGCAGGTTTGTCTCCATGTGAGTGGTTCGATTTTGACCGAGAAATTCTCTAGTTCGCGATTTTTTTTGGATAAAATCGAATATGAGATATTTATTTGGATAAATTTTTAAAACAAATTCAAATTAGATGAGATTTTGATGGTTCAGATCACAAGAAAAAAAAAAGCCAAAAGGGGGGCTCATGTCAAGAATGGGTAAAGGAGATCGAGGAAAGGATGGGAGTTGGTCAAAAACGAAATGAAGATAATAGATAAGATTTAGACATCGATATGTTTAATTTCTAAAATCATCATCATCCAAAATGATTCGCTCTCTTTCGACGAATTCGACATAATTGATATCTTCCTGGCAAGGACCCCAACGACAATAGGGACGATACTGCAAATGGGGAAGATATCGAGATAGAATATACCGTGAATACTGTAATAGTACCCCATCCCCCCTCGTACAGTCGCGTAGTCGCAAAAGTTTTTTAGTATTTCATTCTTTTTGCAAAGCACCCGTACTTTCAAAGAATACGTCTTTGGTATCAAAAAATAGCCATGAATTTCAGCTATTTTTTGATACCTAAACGAGCATTGTAGCATAAACGAGTGTCGAGAAAAACTCGTTCAAAGCTAGACTACGTAACACTCCGCACCGACATTATGGGGCTGGGGTACTATTACAGTATTTACGGTATGTTTAGATCAATCACTACGGTACAATGATTTATGTAACCGGCTTAGAGTACGGTAGTTTTCGAAAACGTGACAACTCTTCCGAAAGTAGTTGCTCGTTTGCCGAAATTTTTCACTTACAGGCGTATTCGGTCCACACTCGCCGTCCATTGGACAATACGTGCAACAATGGAAACCCTGAAAATGTTGAAGGGTTTTAAAATTCGCTTTCAACTCACCGGTGGGCATTGACTCGTCGCCGCACAATACTCGCCAGCCTGGAAAGGGAAAAGTTTATTGATAGCATTCACAAATGAATCTGGCACAGTATTAGTTGATTGATTTTACCAGTTGTGCCGCTTATTAATTCCGGATCTAATCCCAGCAAATTATCTCTAGATCACTTTTTATGATAATTAAAGATATTCAGTCAACGAATTAAATATTGCTATTTATTTTTTCTCTCGTAAAATCATTTTTTGTTTTTAGTCGATTTGTTTCTCTTTAGATAAATTATATTTTTTTTAAACGCGCTTGAAAGTCTAAAGGTCGGTTACGACTAAAACAACTTTCAAGCCAGCTACAGTAGTGTCCCTTTTAATTGAGTCTATAGCCTAAGGCATGAAAAATGGGAGTACTGCTTCTCGGTTGCTAATCAAACAATCGGCTCCTGCACAAATTCAGATACAGCATTATGTCAGAATAGTTACAGTAAACCCTTTTTACGGTATTTGACAAATTTCTAGTGCCATTTAGCATCCAATAAGCAAGCTATGACACCTTTCAGAGACACCGCAGAGCCGACGGATTGGATGCTAAGTTGCACTGAAGAAAAGCTACAGGAAAGCACGGTTACCGTACCTTTTTGCTGCCACACTGGATTCCTTTCGATGAAATCGATGAGATCAGACAGAAAATGAAGAGAGTCGAGAAGAAAATTGATTTCATAGCTACCGTAAACCCGAAACTACCAAAATGAATGCGAAATTTGCAACATTCCCCATTTTTATAGACTTTCACTTGTTCAGCGGACTGTTCCGGTTCGATAAATCATCATTTCTAAAAGCTTTATGAACTTTTTCAACATCCGGGGATCTCGAAAATTGTTTAATCGTTGGGAAAATCGCTTGCAGACACCGGAAAGCGAGCGTTTTTTGCCTGCCGGCGATCCGGCTGTCTGTCATTTTTTTATCCAAATCAGCCTATCACTTTTCCTTTCAGAAAAGCGATATCCGGTCATTGATCAAATATGAACTGTGTTCCTTTCCAATTTTTCTAAAAGACACATAAAAACTATAGTACTCCGAGCAGTCTTTAGCACCACAGTTATTGCTTTATTTTGCAAGTCGAAACAAAGCAAAACGCTCAATTAATAACAATTGTGACATCATAAAGTTTTCAATTAATCGCCTAGACACTTTCATTTCGAAATCTGTTTTGAAACTCATTCTTCTTGATCTCTTATTGTTGGTTATCAAGAAGCGAGTCAACTAGAAGAGATTAGGAAATCTGCGGTAATTTATCGGTATTCATGAATTTCCCCGCACTACACTGATCAAATCAACATTGAGCAATAACCACTTGGATTTTGAATTGCTAAAACTAAAAACTGCATTCATGCCCTCTTTCGTTGTTTTGTGGCTTTACTGATAGAGTCTGACACGAGCTAATTCCATAGTCTTTATTCTGGAAATCTGTAAAATCAAAAAGCATAAACAGTGCAAAAGCCACGCTAACAAATGAATAAGCAGAGATAGAATGCAAATATAACTAACAAATTAGCAGTTTACAAGAATAAACATTAATGTTTTTAACATTAGAAGTACATTATAATGTTTTTAACAATCGATTAACCCAACTAACGACGTCGGAAATAGCTTCTTGCGCGATGTGCAATTCGTTATGAAAGTTGAGCATTGCATGAAATCCATGATCGTAGTGTTTCCACTCCACCGGTACACCAGCTGCTCGCATTCTTTCAGCATAAAGGACACCTAAATTTAAAGAACATTAGAACCAGAAAAACTTTAAATACCTTCATCGCGCAAAATATCAAATTGACACGTCATCACAAAAGAAGGTGGCAGGCCAGTGAGATTCCTTTCGATCAATGGTGCAAATGATGGATCCATAAGCCGCTGCTCAAGAAGCTTCTAAAAAAAGACATTTTTATAAGCTTCACTAACAAAGCCAACTATAGCCTTAGAATTTTCCTTTGGTTCCAATACGGCCGGCAGGTTATCATGTTGTAACGACGATGGAATTGAAGTAAAGTCTAGTAGGCCAGCAACAGCATCGTGAACTTTTGGTGAAACGTGTCCATTTGATACAGCGGACAAAGCCAACTCCGGGTGTTCATTGACATCAATTCCAGCATACCACATGTAATAAAAGGCTAACGAATATGGATCTGAATAGAAACATTAAACTTTTTACAAAATGTTTACTAGTTACTTACCAACAAGTGCAAATCCCATCAACTCTTGATGATAGTGCCGATACGATTCCGTTTGCAAGTTGTGGAATTGAAGCAATGGGTAGAGAAGAACCTAACAATTAGACGTTACTAATTGAAAATCTAAAACAAACCTGTCCAGCCAAATCAACGCCATTCACTGTGCGCATCCGTTGTGTAACGGCAGCAGCGAGGTTTCCACCAGCAGAATCACCCATGAGCACTATCTTTGTTGGGTCGAGGCCAAAAACAGCAGCGTTGTTGATGAGATAGGTGAGCGCACGTTCCACATCATGAAGACCACCAGGATATGTGACTTCAGGAGCCAGTCGATAGTCGATTGAAACAACCAGCGTGTTTAGCCTAAAACTATGCAATTATTTTTATAAGCTTAATTATTAGAAACAAACATTATTGCCATCTTCCGCATAAGTCCTTCGTAAATGCTTGTGCTTCCCATGACAAAGCCGCCACCATGAATGAAGACCACCGCTCCATCAGACGTCTTATTCTCCTTTGGTTGATAGACACGCACCTAAAACATTACATAAAGAATAAAGGAAAATAACACTCACCCGAACCCCATCAAAATCTTCGGTGCTAAGCTGCAATGTGGGGTGCCAATCAAAAAGATTCCGTGGATCGATGGCTTGTGAAAGTGTGCTCAAAACGGCTCTTGTCAACGTCAGACGACATCCGGCATTTGGGCACAAGTACTCGGCTGGCCAGTAATACGTAACCCTCAAGATTGTCTCGACCAAATGCATCACAAGCCGATCCTTTACCCCATCTGTGAATCCCTTGGGTAGCGGTCGGTGCACGAATGATGTGATGATGAACCAAATCGTCACTAAAAAAAATCGAATGAAATAATGATTGAAGATAGTTGAGGGAGTGTATCCTGTTTATTTGGAACAGAATGGAACAACTTTTTAACTAGCTTCCAATAATCTACAATGACAATTCGGTACTACTATCCAATGTGCAAAAATTTCATGTTAATCTTATTGTTAGACCAAAACGTATGTCCAATTTCTGCTTTGCCACCGTTCACTACCTACCTAATTCAGCACTAGAAACCACATGAAACAAGCTTAGGTATTAAATTTGCAAGCTTGAGTAAACTTTGGATCATAAAAACCGGGTTAAAGTTAAAGGTACCTCCAATAAGAAGCTTGCTGGGCTGTTTTTGTGAGGCTTTCCGCATTTTTCTTGTTGCAACTTGGTTGCTCTTCTAGTAGTAGGGTTGATTCGTTTAAAACGAAAGAAGAACGCCTAAACAAAAGAGTATTATTTTGAAAGAACCAGAAAAAAAAGAAATAGAGACATCGAAAAGAGGCGTCTGGATTGTAATCGTAAACGACAAATGATTTTTTTCGTCAACTTACCTCCTTAAATTGTGATTTGGAGTGCGACAAAAACCTCAGCCACTTGATGAATATCTTATAATTTGTAGTAAGTAAATGGTATAAATTCATCTGGCTCAAATGGTTTTTCACAGTTAATGGGGTAGGCTAATTTCCGCCATTTTATTTGCGCAACTCGCCATAACTTTTTTCTAAGTGACACAATCTTTGTTTTTGGTTTCATTTTGTTGCACTTATTGAGATCTACAAAATGAAACCAAAAACATAAAGATTGTGTCACTTAGAAAAAAGTTATGGCGAGTTGCGCAAATGACCCTGTTGCGCAAATAAAATGGCGGAAATTAGCCTACCCCCAGTTGATATCTTGATTTGGTTGCAATTTGAATAGCGTTATTCATGTTTTATTCTAGATTCAAGGCTCGATACAATTATTTCTTGATGCAATCGTATCGAACTTGTATCTAGAATAGAAGCATAAATATATTTAATTTGTTTTACACACACGGAGATCGACACTTTTGTTTTACTTTTTTGGTAAAACTCATCAACTTTCATTAGGCTCGATACGATTGCATCAAGAAATAATTGTATCGAGCATTGTGACCCTGAAAGCATCGTTGCGAAAATTTTGCGGAAAATTTCTTGATGATATCCAGGATTTGTGATTTTAACCGTAAATACGGGGGTCGGACAAATGCGACCTTTTTTTTGCGCACCTGGACATTTGCGCACCTTTTTTTGCTGGAAAAGGCCTTAGGAAAGGTCGTAGAGCTTCAAAAATGTTTTCATAGAAGGGAATCGTATGCGTAGATTCCGAATTTCGACAAATCAGACCTCGCTGACACGTCAAATTTGGGCTAAAAGGCAAAAACTACGCAACTTAACGCTTTTCCGCAGTTTTTGCCTTTTAGCCCAAATTTGACGTGTCAGCGAGGTCTGATTTGTCGAAATTCGGAATCTACGCATACGATTCCCTTATATGGAAATATTTCGAAGCTCTACGGACTTGCCTAAAGCCTTTTCCAGCAAAAAAAGGTAGCATTTGTCCCACCCCCGTAAATACTGATTTTTCAAAAGTTCATGGTCAAACGTTTGGGCAATTGGCTAATTTAGCCTTTAACTCTTTAGCCAAGCAAAAGTCGCCGATTTAGAAAAAAGATTTTCGAAAGTCTTTGTTTTTCAAAAATCTATGGCTAGCTTAACAATAATCAATTCGATTTGCTCACTTTCAACGAGTGACACGGAGTTGATTGGATCTTAACCAAGAGCATCAGAAAAATTGAAAGCAACAGGAAAATCATATTTTTGTGAAAAAAAGAAGCGTTTTCTAAAAACTCAATCGTTTTATTGGACATTTTGCTGGACAGGGTTTATGAATGCCGTAGTCCAAAGTGTTAAACTAAATTTATATGCAAAGTTTTGTATTTTTGATGAGCTAATCTTTTCAAACTTTATTCAATCTCAAAAATCGATAAAATTCGGCAACATCCCCGCGAAATTCCACTTTGACTCATCAACATCAGCTTTGATTTCTCGAAGAATCTCGTCGACTTCAGCTTTTGATTTCTGCAAATCTCTCCCTAATACTTTTGATATTTCAACGTACGATGAATCTCTCGTCAAGATCGAAATCATAGTCCGGATCATAGCATTTGTGAATATCGGGGATCTTGTTGAAGAGTTTGTAGTAGAAAGCTTTGCGCATCCATGGTCTGAATTTGTGTTTCAGTGAAATTTGGCTCATTGGTAGGGAATTTTTTTGAGCCAGTGACCATTTTAGACTAGAATCGAGTACTAGTCTTGGCTAGCCTAACCTGGTTTCCTTGAGCCCACCAGAAGTCAAGCCTGACCTAGCTTACAACTTTAGAATTAGGTTGAAACTGAAAAAAAACCCGCATTCAACTTTATTTCCTTACAATTTAGCTCTTTCCACAAATTGCCCAGTGAAATTCTCGACACGTGCCTCTTGTAGTCCGTGTAAAATAAAATCTCGATCAGGACTCCAACGGGAATCCGCCAACCAAACATCTCTCACCCAGCCTGTTCCCTGAATTGAAAGGAAAAGATTGTGCAAATGATTTGATGTTTTTGATGTTAAGAAATTGTGCCAAAGAGTGCTATTGCCTTTTACACAAAGTATTGGGTTGGTGAATTGAAAACTGCCGGACTTTGAACTAAAATTTATTCAACATAAAACCATCAATTCATTCGAGATAATTTCCATTATTATTGACGACTTCTGCCCATTTTACAGGCAATTTGCGGATTCCTCTTTCGTAGTAGGATTTTGGTTTGTGTGTGAGACAAGTGTGAGACTCAAAAATGGAGGACTGGAGATGTTCCAGTTTGAGCACTTTCTTCAAAAGAAACCCATTTTGGTGTCAATAGAAAAGTTGTAGAGAATCAAAAATTAGGCTTATAGCCAAATTTCCAAAAAGATACACTTAGTAGTTTCGTTTAAAATGCAAGTTTTGTGAAAATTCGTAAATTTCGCATTTCTTGAAAACCAGTTTTTGAATCGTTCTGAAAATTTGGATATAAGCTTGATTTTTGATTCTCTACAACTTTTCCATTGACACCAAAATGGGTTTCTTTTGAAGAAAACCCTCAAACTGTCACATATGACAATAGCTGGCAGTTTTCAATTCACCAACCCAATAAAATGCGAAAAAAATCTTTTGTAGATTTGAGTAATCAATGAGTTTAGGTCAAGAATAAGCAAGTATTTCAATAAGTGGCTTAAAAGACCGATACAGAACAATGACCAATACAGAACAATACAGAACAATGATCAAAACAAGACCAATACAGAACAATGGACAACTCACTTTCCTCAACATGCGCACATTTTTCATGTACAACTGATTGCCAATCGTCATCCTGACGCACACCTCGTAGACGTACAAATCGATGCCCCATTTCACTTTTTGTTGCGCTTTTCGACACGGCTTAAATCAAATTTTCAACAAATTCCAAAAAAAAACAAAAAAAAACTTCAAACTCGTCTCTCATTTCTGGATACAATTCATCAGCAAGAAACATCTGAAATCTTTTATTTTCTTTTATCCAAAAAACGAATTCAAACGTGTAAAGCAGCATTATCCGATCCAACAACTTTCTCCTCCAATTCATCTCCATATTTTGCAAATCTAAATTTAAAACTTTTCGATTTTTCTCCAATTTCTCCAGAGTTTTACAAACTTTTTCAAGAAATCAAATGTCCATTTCGTATTTTTCGCAATATAACTCCCGGCGGCAATCTCAAAATTGATAAAGCGCTCATAGAGAGTTAAGTCGAAACGGGGATCGATCCATTCCTCTATTTTTCTGGAAATTGGATGTCATTTCGAAGTTTCAATCTATAAAGTTAACCAAAAACTTCGTAAAATTGTGACATCAACCTTTTTGGAGAGACAACGGCCATGTCGGCATCGAGAAACAGCGTGTAATCGGCTATATAAAGATGCTCGGCCACTATGCAATGTCTAGCGAACATGAACTAAAAGAGATTTTGGTTGAAACTCTTTAACTCTATCAACATCTCTCGTGAAACATTGGAGAAAATGCGCAGAAACAGCTATTCGGAACTCGTAATTATGCATCCGGGCATAGCAACGGAGAGAAGCGAGCGCTGTCTCGTATTTCGAGAATTCGTTCATTGACTAAAACTGGCTAGAATATGAATTGAAATCAGAATTCATTAAAATCACTTAAAACTTATCATACATAAAGCAAAAGTTGCTCAGTCTATTGGCTAAAGATTCTCAGTCTGTTGGCTAAAGATTCTCAGCCTATTGGCTAAAGATTCTCAGCCTATTGGCTAAAGATTCTCAGTCTGTTGGCTAAAGATTCTCAGCCTATTGGCTAAAGATTCCTGTGCAATAGCTGGACACAGGAAACTGGGATTATAATAAAAAAAGTTCACCCAATAACTTGCAAAATTGTTCAAATGGTTAGATTACCTAACTAGTTTAAATAGTTAAATTTCTAACTATAACAAAGAAAGAGGCATTTATAGTTATAGTTAAGTCACTTTTTCATTCTTCTTCCTGTTCAAGTTCACTCCAATCCAATAGCACAAACGTTTACACAAAGTTAGTTAGATAGGTAATTAGATAGATCCCGTAAATACTCTAATAGAACGCCATAATGACAGGCGTACAATGGCGTAGTCGAACTTTAAACATCCCGTTCTCCGCGCTGTTTTAAGCTACAGTATGTGGTTGATTGGCAAACGATAGCCCTTGAAATCTAGTATTTTTGGCATCAAATGTGTAGTTGGGAAAAATCTAGGAGTTGAGGAAAATGATTTGAAGATGAAAAGAAGTTAAACTACGGGGTAGCTTTCAATTAGAGTAGATTATATAAATAGCTAAATATCTAAATAGCTAAACAGCTAAATATCTAAATAGCCAAACAGCTAAATAGCTAAATATCTAAATAGCTAAACAAGTCTGTCTATAAGAAATTGAGTCTAGGAAGAATTCAGCTTTCCTTTCACAACTCTGTTCACTTACATTTAACACCACCAAAATCAAAATCGACACATTTTTCTGTTGCGTTGTCAGTTCTGTTGTTGAGGATTCGATTCGAAATTCCCCTTCTTGTACGTGAGTTGAATGCTGGTGATTGAGTTTGAACTTTTGTAAATCCTAAAAGGAGATAATGTTTAGAGTCCTGTGATTAGAATGCTGTGAGTCAGACCGATCGCTAGAGTCATTTCTAAAGTCAGAATTAGATATTGGTGTTGAAGAAGTTATGTTTTTTGTGTTTTTCAATGAATCTAATCTTAATTTGAAGAAATTGTTTGGAAATTTGAAATCAGAATGGTAAAATGAGTTTCAGAGGCTACTTCAGAGACTACTTTCAGAGCTTTCACTTTTCACTGCAAATCTCTTGAGCTTTAAGCTCTTTTAAAGGACAACTAGAACAACTGAGTGCACTAGAAAGGAGATGTTTGCATTTTTGAATTGAAAATCCTGTTAAAATGAATGACTGACCGATCGTTCCTCGTGGTAAATCGAGAAAATCGCGAACGAAAACGTGAAAACCCAAGCGAAAAAAGCGGCAAATGGCGCAATTTTCCCACAAAATCGCTGCACTTTACGACTCATTTTTGGAAATAAAATGAAGAAATAACTGGAGAATAATTGAATTAAACAATCTGTGCTTTACGAAAAACGGTCTGTTATTTGTTTGCGCGAAATTTGCATTTATCCCTGATCCATTCCGGGTTGGGTAAACAATCCGGAAATGGATTTGGGTTAATTTTTCAAACAAAAATCTAAAACCGTTATTTTTCGTGAATTCTGGAGCGCACAATAGATATCGTAAATACTGTGATAGTACCTCACTCCCCTCGTACAGTCGCGTAGTCACAAAAGTTTTTTAGTATTTCATTCTTTTTCAAAGCGCCCGTACTTCCAAAAAATGCGTCTTTGGTATCAAAAAATAGCCCTGAATTTCAGCTATTTTTTGATACCTAAACGAGCATTGTAGCATACGAGTGTCGAGAAAAACTCGTTCAAAGCTAGACTACGCGATGCTCCGGCCGTCATTATGGGGGTGGGGTCCTATTACAGTATTTACGGTAGGTAAATTTTAGGACAAAATCGTGATCAGTTGCTTTTTAGGAAAACAGTCGAAACACGCTTAAGGCGTCATTTTGGCCGTCATTTGGTTTACGGCGGAATCAAATGATTAGTGGCAAAATTTGAAAACATTTTCTATGTCAAATTCGCAAAACTATTCGGCTATTTCATTGAATAACTGAATATCTTTTAAAAATGACCTTTACAAGCCTTTTTTCTATTCTTGGGAATGGGACAAATGCGACCTTTTTTTGCGCAGCCTGGACATTTCCACACCTCTTTTAGCGCACCTAGGACATTTGCGCACTTCTTTTGCGCACCCGCGACATTTACGCACCTTTTCGCCCATTATAACAAGGACTGCCCTTTCACCCATTACAACAACGACAAGGATTGACCCACAGAATCGTGTTTAGCCCCAATTATTAAGTTTTTGATTTTTTTTTGCTTTTGCAGAAACGATAATTGCGTAGATCGGTAGATCAAAGAGTCGGCAATATCCTCGTCGCTCTCTGGAGCAATTCTGGAGCGGTAGGTAAATTTTAAGACAAAATCGTGACCAGTTGCTTTTTAGGAAACAGTCGAAACACACTTTTGGCGTCATTTTGGCCGTCATTTGGTTTACGGCGGAATCAAATCGCTAGTTATTGATTTTTGTGCTTTTCGTTCGAAGATTTTACTCGTTTATTATCTTTTGTAAAATTCGTTTTTTTCGATTTGAAATTTTCAAATGAGGCACAACACGAGTTTGCAATGAAATTTAAGAAAACAAAACGATTTTTCTTTTGTAAAAAGCAAAAGATGTGAGCAAAGGTTATAATAAATAAAAAAAATGATAATTCGATAACCTATGATAAAATTTTATTTCTGAAAATGGGGAGGAGGAGGAAAAATGAAAAATTGAACTGATTAGATGCAAGAATATCACAGGTAGACGAAATGGAGCGCGAAATAGAAAAAGAAAAGAAGGAAACAAAGGGAAGATTCGCAGACATTTAACAATTTGACGTTAGTGCATCGAGTTTTTAGGCACCTACCGTAAATACTGTAATAGTTCCCATCCCCCCGTCCAGTCGCGTAGTCACAAAAGTTTTTTAGTATTTAATTCTTTTTCAAAGCGCCCGTACTTTCAAAGAATGCGTCTTTGGTATCAAAAAATAGCCCTGAATTTCAGGGCTATTTTTTGATACCTAAACGAGCATTGTAGCATAAACGAGTGTCGAGAAAAACGCGTTCAAAGCTAGACTACGCAACACTCCACACCGTCATTATGGGGGTTACAGTATTTACGGTAAATAAAAGTTTAATTATTAAATGTCGAAAAACTGAGAAGCATATCGTTATCAAAAAAAGAACTGAAGAAAAAAAAGAAAACTGGATAAATTACCGTAATCAATTCGTTGTCTGGGCTTCGTTTTAGCAAAAATGATTCATAAAAAAAAAGAAAAAGAATAAGTAAATTTTGAGAAAGAAACGAATTTTCGAATTTTTAAACAATAAATGAATATCTAAAGGGAAAAATGGTAGTAGAGTACTGTAATTTTGATAATTTAAAAGTAATTCTTAATTCTGGAACGCACATAGTAGAAAACGGGGGTTTAAAAGTACGGTAGAGTACTGTAGATAAGTGGGGCGGGGATTGTAGAGCTAACTGCCAAAAGACGCTTTTTGTAATCTCTTTGATTCCTATTTTATCGGCTTTAAGTACTGTAGCGAGGCTTTGATTGCTGTAGTAAAGTGTTATATTACTTAATAGCTTTCTTACTACTTAATAACTTAATAGCTTTCTTTACTGTTTACTTTAATATTACTTAATAGCTTTCTTTACTGTAATTGAAGGCTATTCTATCTTACAATAACCACTCTTGTAATCGAAATTACAGACTGGAGGCTGAAGGCTGAAGGCTGAGCTGATTGGCTAAAGGGTGAAGCTCTAGAAGATCAAAAAAAGCTCCACAATTTACAAAAGAAGCTCTATTTTTTTAGCTAGAACCCTAAATTCGATTTACTATATAGTATTTTGAAGCTGAGATTCTGGGGAACACTTCTACACCTAAACCATCCTGCTCAGCTCAACAAAGCCACCCAGCTCTCCAAAAAAGCATTCTTTACCTCCAGCAAGAAGCTAGAGGCAAATTGTCATAGGGAACTTGTTTCTAATTGAAAAATCCTTCAAAAAAAAACCTTTCTAAACGTAAGCTTTCGTTCAGTTTTTATTATCAAATCTCTCATTAAAACAGAAACGTGTTTGTCTGGGTGATTTGCCTCGAATGAAGTGCAAAGCCTTCTTTTAAAGGGTGAAGATTTCTGATCACTGATTTCTGATCTGATATTTGATAGAAATGTTCAAAATACGATAAAAGACTGTAAATTTTGTTTTAGCTTTCATAGAAAATAGAAAAACATTTACAAATGTGCGAAAACTTTTTGATTACCTAGAGTACTTTTTAAATATTTTAAAAGAAAGCTAATAGTACGGCAGATATTGTAGGTTAGTGAAGCGCTTCCGCTACGTTCTATTTGCTGTTTGGCTATTTGGATTAGCTATTTCTTTAGCTACAGTACCTCTGCCGTAATTCTAAATCACCGTTACCGTAGCTATTTCATAGAAGTAGCTGTAGCTGTAGCTTCGAGATAGTAGCTGTAGATTGTTACTGTCGTTCTCATTTATTCCATTCGATTCCATTCCTACAGACTGCTCAACGACGGCAATTCAGTCACCACCACGGAAATGCTTTCTGAAATCAAAAAAGTTGAAGATAATTAGAAATTTCTTGAAAAGTTAAACTAGTATTTTAGGAAACAAACACATTTTAGAAAGGGAAAAAGGACATGTTTTTTTTGAGGCATTCACGGGAGAGAATACTGTAAATACTGTAATAGTACCCCACCGCCCTCGTACAGTCGCGTAGTCACAAAAGTTTTTTAGTATTTCATTCTTTTTCAAAGCACCCGTACTTTCAAAGAATGCGTCTTTGGTATCAAAAAATAGCCCTGAAATTCAGGCTATTTTTTGATACCTAAACGAGCATTGTAGCATAAACCAGTGTCGAGAAAAACGCGTTCAAAGCTAGACTACGCAACACTCCGCACCGTCATTATGGGGGTGGGGTACTATTTACAGTATTTACGGTAGGTAAATTTTAAGACAAAATCGTGACCAGTTGCTTTTTAGGAAACAGTCGAAACACGCTTTTGGCGTCATTTTGGCCGTCATTTGGTTTACGGCGGAATCAAATGATTAGTGGCAAAATTTGAAAACATTTTCTATGACAAATTCGCAAAACTATTCGGCTATTTCATTGAATAACTGAATATCTTTTAAAAATGACCTTTACAAGCCTTTTTTTCTTTTCTTGGGAATGGGACAGATGCTACCTTTTTTTTGCGCACCCGGCACATTTCCACACCTCTTTAGCGCACCTAGGACATTTTCGCACTTCTTTTGCGCACCCGCGACATTTACGCACCTTTTCGCCCATTATAACAAGGACTGCCCTTTCGCCCATTACAACAACGACAAGGATTGACCCACAGAATCGTTTTTAGCCCCAATTGTTAGCTTTTTGATTTTTTTTGCTTTTGCAGAAACGATAATTGCTTTTTTAGTTGCGAATCGACTTTAAGAAGCTCGGAAGATGGCAGAAGATACTAAGAAGATGACACTAACTCGATCAAGGTACACTTTCTTTTTGCGTTTTACATTTATAAAGTTCCTTTTGCATCCTATTTAGAAAGTATTCTCTTATTAATGTTTATTTTTAGAATTTTGTCGAAACACGTTTCGATCAAACAGGGATAAAGAAGTGTTTTATGACGCGAGCGGCTTCAAATTTCGACTCCACAAGAACACTAGGACTAAAGGACCGATTTTCAGGTAATAAAGTTTAACTGAAATTTTATACGTTATGAAAGCGAAAATTCTTGTTTTTTTACAGATGAAGATTGAAGTCCGTGGAGACATTCGTCACCGCAGAATTCACACCTTGGCTACGTTGTGTGTCGGCTTTATGAAAAAATGATGAATGCGATTAACCGCTTGATGCTTGCCACGACTCGGAACCTTTCGTCGACCCAACAATATCAACAATGTTGAGTGTTTTGATTGATAAAATGCTTTTAAGTGAAAAAAAACTACCATCAAAAATGAAAGCTACAGACCAATAGCAGAAAATAAACAAAAAGTAAAGTTAAGTGATTCTGTGGTTCTAGAGCAGTCCTTGTTATAATGGGCGAAAGGCGAAAGCGAAAGGCGCGCAAATGTCCCAGGTGCGCAAAAAAAGGTAGCATTTGTTCCCCTCCCCATTTCTTTTCTAAAATGCAACTGATAACGCTTTTGTGGGGGTGGCTACTTTGCGCCATTTTATTTGCTCTACAGGGTCATTTGCGTCACTCGCCATAACTTTCTTCTAAGTCGGCCAATCTTTATGTTTTTGGTTTCATTTTGTTGCACTTATTGAGATCTACAAAATGAAACCAAAATCATAAAGATTGGCCGACTTCGAAGAAAGTTATGGCGAGTTGCGCAAACGACCTAGTTGCATAAAAAAATTTGGCGCAAAGTAGCCACCGCCCTTTTTGTTAAAACGAGACGAGATTCCGTTTTAAACCAAGTAACGATCTGAAATTTTCATTTTTAAAACAATTTACCTCATTCTAAGGCCTTTTGAAATTGTTTGACAAAATTTAAACATTAAATTTTGGGTGTAATTTGGTTCACGACGGAATCTTGTCACTAGTTGGTCAAAGATTCAAATTTTGATAAAATTCCATTTTTTTCTTCAGAAAAAGCCTGAGTGCCTTCCAGGATTTACGATTGAAATTTTGGATTTTTAAAAATTTCAATCTTTGAGCCACTTTTAACCTAAAGTCATCACACGAACGACTAAAAAGATCAAGTTCTGCCTTTTGACAAGTATAAACAGCTTAAAAATTGTATTCTAGCTGTAAAATTGTTTAAAATCATGTAAAACAACGAGACAACGACAGACCGATCATGCACTCAGCGCCAGCACATGCAGCCTGAAAGGGAGAATAAGACGATGACTCGATTTTCGATCGCTCGAGAGAATTTCGATCGCTTTTACTTTAACAACAAAGTTTTTGGCAATTATGGATAGCACGTTGATAAGTTTTTTCGTTTTTTTAAGTAGGAAATGGGTTTTTTTTGAACAAAATTGATGTTTAAAATCGATATTTAAAATCGAAATGATTTCCCATCAAAATGCTACCATTTTTTCAATCTCTAAGGGATTTCAAATTTCAACATGAAAACTATGGATAACACTCAAGGGTTTTTACACATTTCGAAATGAATTTGTTACGAAATTTAACTTTAAGCCATACCTCGTCGCTCGACGGATAAGCTCGCTCCTTTTCGACTACCAGCTCTCGTTCTCGCCTCGTTCTCCTTTTCAACCAAATCGCCGATAGCTGACTGTAATTTTGAAGGGTTTAAAATGGATTGAGATTGTTTTTAAAACCTGTAACCGTTTGATGTGACCAATCTTGATGACACCAAGATCTTTGAAATCGGATCTGTAATTGAAAATGAAATTTGAAGAGATTGAAATTGAGATTTGAATAGAAAAGTCGATTTTTAGTAAAAAAAACCTTTCCAAATGGATTAGCTCTTGACCGGTGATATCATTGGCACGAAATTGTTCTGTGTATTGGGATAAACCGAGTGATGACAACCAATTGAGAACACCATCAACAGTCCATGTTGAGACTGAAATTTCAATTACGATTTCAATTCGATTTCAATTCGATTTCCACTCGATTTCCATTCATTTTACAACAATTTACGCAAAAAGAAACAAACATTCAAACCTTTAAGTCGAAATTTACACAATGAAAGTGGGAAAGGTACTGGAGAAATGCAAGCCGTTAAAGCCTTTGTACTTTCTGCACTTTATTTTCTTTCTTAAAACCCCTAATTTCTTGCTTATTTGAGTTGAGACAATTCTTTTTACACAAGAAGATCCTTTTTGTGCAAAAAGTATCTTTGTAAACACTCTTTATCTAGCACAATCACTTTATGCAAACCCCTTTGTTTTATGTAATCAATTCGATTCTTTTCATCAACTCACCGGGACTTTTCGGCCTCTTCCTTCTTCTCCATTTATTACTCAACCACGACGTCCATCGACTTCTTTTTCTTGCTTCTCCTTCCAAAGATTTTCGACGCTCTTCCTAGAATTTTTGCCATCTCAGAGTCTATCTTAAAGTTTATTCTTTGACAAATAGGATTCACTTCTTGTTTATCTAACTAACTATCTAACTAACTATCTAACTAATTAGCTATCTATCTATCTATCTGTCTATCTATCGATCTAACTAACCAGCTATCGATCTATCTATCTATCTATCTATCAATCAATCAATCAATCAATCAATCTATCTATCTATCTATCGATCTATCTATCTATCGATCTATCTATCTATCGATCTATCTATCTAACTACCGTAAATACTGTACTTCAACGGCACCCCCTCGTTCAGTCGCCGTAGTTTAACTTCTTTTTAGAAAATCATTTTTTTCTCAGCCCCAACTACACTTTTGGTACCAAAAAATCATAGATTTTAAGGGCTATCACTTGACAAGAAATCCTCAAGAAATCCTTGACACCCAAGCGCACACTGTAGCATAAAACAGCGCGGAGAACGGGATGTTTAAAGTTAGACTACGCGATTGTACGCCTGTCATTATGGCGTTCTATTAGTATTTACGGTATCTATCTAATTATCTATCTAACAAACGTTTGTGTAAACGTTTGTGCTATTGGATTGGAGTGAACTTGAACAGGAAGAAGAATGAAAAAGTGACTTAACTATCTATAAAGGCCTCTTTCTTTGTTATAGTTAGAAAATAGAAACGTTCGCTCTTTAAACCTTTCATTCATTATCATTTAGCTTTATTTATCTAGTTAAGTTGCATTTTTTCTCTGAAAATTCCGAATGTTAAAATTTTAGCATCGATTTTCATTTCGCACATTTCATTTCACCTCTCAACCGACAAACCTTAATCACAGCCTCCTCTCTGGCCAATGTTTGCCTCATCGAGTTGATCACATATCGCCATTTATCTGGTTCATCACCCTAAAAGATTTCGAGAATATAAGTGAGTGTGTTTTTTTCTTTTCTTTTGTCTTTTCAAAATCAGAATCAATCGTTGGTTTAGTGTTTGATAGCAATACGAAAGGAAAGAGACAAGAATATACGGAAAGAATATGAAAGGATAATATAAAGTGGGCTCCGTCACTTTATCTTAAAAGCGATCTTTCAGAGGCGCGACAAAAAAATTAGACATTAAATAAGATTTGACAGAAAAACATTAAATAAGATTTGACAGAAAAGAGCCACTTTTCTGCACATCTTTCATTCTATATCATTTAGCTTTATTTATCTAGTTAAGTGGATCACATATCGACATTTATCTGGTTCATCACCCTAAAAGATTTCGAGAATGAGTCCCTGTGTCTTGTCTTTTCTTTTGTCTTTTCAAAATCGAATTTCAAGCACTTCCCGTTTACCAAATTCACTTACCCAGGTCTTTGGTTGTTATTTTTGAGGTTTAGAGAAAATAGATTTGAACAGCTGTTCTCACAAAGTTCTCACAAAGTTTCCCAGTCATTAAAGTAAAGAAATTTGAATTGCCCAATCATAAATCAGTGAGTCAGTGACAAATTGAGGAAAGGGGAAAGCCGGCATTTTTTTGAGGTTGTCGAATTTTTCGAAAAAATCTTTTTTTCCAATAGAACATTAGCATTAAAATTAGTCCCATTTTTCACCAGTAGAAAGGGAAATTTGTGTTCTACATTCGACTTTTCAGCGCTTTTGAAAAGCTTCAATTTTGAGGATTTTTCCGAGGTGTAAAGAGAGTCAGAATTGTTTAAAAATCGAAAAGTTAAAAAAAGTCGAATTTAGCACAAAGATTTACCTTTCTAATGGTATAAATTGGATTCATTTTTTCATTTTAATAGTTGCGTTATCTTGAATAACAAAATACTTTCCGAAATACTCTCATTCAAAAATCCGACAACTTGATTTTGATTTTTCCTCAGCTTAAAGCTTTTATTTGGTGTAGTTTAAGTGTCTTTGTAAACGCTCTTTATCCTGGAAAAGTTGATCGATGGTCTATAACTCGAGGCATAGAAGTTCAATCAACTTATGGTTGGTTTTAATAGAATCTTCATTAAATTTGGTTATAGAAAAGTAGAATTTGTTTTGTAGACTCATGTATAAGAAGAGAGAAAATTTGAGTCAAAGTTGAACTTCCAAATTCCGTTACGAGTCTCGGAGTTTGGAAACTTTTCTATTTTACTCTATAACTCGACTCCCAATAATCAGGTAGACTTGAAGTTGGTTTTAAAATGATCCGCAAAGCACTAAAGCCGGGAACGTTAATATTTTTTTTTCCCATTCATTCGGGCACAATTCAAAACTCCAACAACTTAATATTTGTGAGAATTTGTGATTTTTCTTGAGTTTAAAGCTTTTATAAGCTTAAAGCTTTAAAGCTTGGTGTAGTTTAAGTGTCTTTGTAAACGCTCTTTATCTAGCACAATCACTTTATCTCATTTTTCTTTTTTAGCAGAAGAAATTGAAAAGTTATGTGCACTAGAAAGAAATGTTTTTGGAAAATTTGAGAAAAAATTTGAGCGTTTTTGAAACTCCAGCTTTGGTTGAGCTTTTTATTCTTTATTTATATTCTTTTTTTTTCTTTAAACTCAAACCTTTGTATCAAAAGTGAATAAAGCGGGCGCGGGAAGGCCAACCGTCGAGTGTTTCTTGCTCTCCATTCCACCGCCGGATTGCGGTGAACGAGCGACAGGGAAACCGAAATGATCCTCGAGCAGATCGACGACTCCCTCCACTCCAGCAACGGCTTCCTCTCGTAGTGACCACGAATCGACTTCAGCTTCACTCTGAAATTGAAAACAAACATTTTAAGCAAAAGACTATTCAAAAATCTACATCCCTTAAAATCTACTTTCTCTTTTTCTTCCAACGCAACTTTAACTCCCCAAGGGCCTCCCAAAACTTTCTTTTTCTTTCTTTCTTATAAACTTTCCCCTCTTCAAGTGACAGGTGTCTCTCAGAATGCCCATAAATTTTGATCTGATCACTGTGATAAGAGTTGCAACAATTTTTGACTAAAATTTTGAGTTTTTAAAAAGTTTAAACAATCGTTTTAGCAATTATGGAATGCATGCTAGCATTTGTTTCATTTTACACTTCAAAATCTCTGAAATATAATAAATTTTAGAGATTTTCAGAGTTGCAACAATTTTAACCCAAAAATTTCGAGTTTTTACAAAATTTAACAATTGTTTTAGGAGTTATGGAATGCATGCTAGGTTTTGTTTCATTTTACACTTCAAAATCTCTTGAATACGATTAATCTTAAAGATTTTCAGAGTTGCAACAATTTTAACCCAAAAATTTTCACTTCTTATAAAGTTCAACAAATTTTATGGCAATTATGGAATGCAGGGTTTTACTAGGTTTTACCGCATTTTCAACCACTCAAAATCTCTTCAATATGATAATTGCCGGAGTCAGAGCTCTTGCAACAGCTCAAACCCTCGGGATTTCATCTCTTCCAAAGTCTAGCTGTTTTTTCAGAAATTTTGGAACTCATTCTAGGGTCAGCTTCCTTTTCCCCCCACAAAATCTGTTCAATAGACCGTGCAAGAAAGGCGCAGTGAGCCGCTTCTTCTTCTTCTTCTTCCCCTTCCCCTTCCCCTCGCCCAAGCCCCGCCCACTTCTCGACTTCCCCCAAACTCTTGCCCCAGGGAAAGCTCTTCTCGTGGACTCAACCCACACCCATTCTGGAATGCATATTCATGTTTCCCGTTGGACTTTTTGCGTTAACTCCGAGAATCTCGTTATTCATAAGTTTTCCCCTTTGCTTGCCCTCCTGAATTCTCAAAACAACAAAAAATGGATCGATGCGCTCCAGATTTGATCAAGAGAATCTTATTTTTTTTTGGAGCTAGTACAGCGTTTTTTTTCCCCGAGTAAAGGCTATTTTTATTAAACTTTACTTTAAAGTTAGCATAGTTGTCAGCAAAATATCTAGTTGTCAGCAAATCTAGCAAAATAGTTGTCATCAAAATATCTCTAAAGCTTTAAAAAATGTTCAAAATTTGCACAAATCTTGAAATCCAAAAATTCTTCTCAATTAGGGTCTATTGGAAAGGAAGATTCGGGGTTAAAAGATGAGCAAAAAAAAAGAGGGAAAGAGGCATTTTGCAGAAAAGAGAACCAAAAAAGGGATTCAATCAACCACCAGACCACCAGATTCAGCCTTGGCTTTACCCAGTAAATCACTAGATCACCTAATTTTTAACCTGACTGACCCTAGTTGACCTGGACTAGCTTGACCTAGCTTGACCTAGCTTGACCTAGCTTAACCTGGGCTTAAACCGAAGCCAACTCCTAACCCCCGCCCTTTCTGGTTTCGCCCGGACTGCCCTACCCTCGATTACAAGCCTATCAGCCTAAAATTCTTTGGATTCTTTGCTAGACAACGAAAGAAGGGATTTCCAGATCCAATCAACCCAACCCAGCCTCAGCCAACCCCCTCCACCCCTCCCCATTCCATCAAACATTCACCCCTCATTTAAATCCTTTTGTCTCTTGCTTTGCTGACCTCAAATTGGCCTTTTTGAAGATGCTGGATGGCATGGCTTTAGAAAAAAGAAAAAGAGTCCACAATTTGCACGTGCTTTTCTCCACCATCCGTTTCTTATTAGCTTCTTCTCTGTGAGCCACCTTCTGAATCGAATTCCTCCCAGTCCCCGCGTTTTCTGGTGAGCAAAACGGGTGAACTGGAAGGCACCAGTGACCGAGAAATCGTTTTCGGAGAGTTTAGTTTGAAATCTTGAAAAAACTTTACAATAGTATTTTGTACGTTTAAAAAAAACTTTCGACTTTCCATTTTCATTGTTCCATTTTATCTCGTGACATCCAGGATTTACAAAAAGCACAAATAATTTCAGGAATTTCCAATGGAGAGCACGCTGGATGAGCGAGATCACATGAAATTCGAGTTCCTCTTCCAGCACCCACAGGGTGCATCATCTCACTCACAAGCAACATCAGATACGCCATCCTGGAGTACAAGGACCTCAACAAAGGGCATAAAAAGCGAAAAGGGTTTTCCCCAGAGACATGCGACTACCCATCGAATTGTTCAAGTCAGTGTCGCCTCAAAAAAAAAGCCGATAAAGTTGCACGTGAAATGCGTCTTAAAGCTCAAGTTGGGTTACACAATTTTTAAATCTTTAGATTCTTCTGTTGTTGGAGTTATTTTTCTCTGTGCTCTCGGTCGGGTTAATCCTACTTTCAATGACGATTTGGGGTAAATCGAAAGAAGAATTATCGGCTACAAACAACGAGAAAACAACGGTGAGAGGAGGGATTTTGTAGGATTGAGGGAAAGAAAAGAAAATGGATCGATGGGAAAGAGAGGAGAGACGAATAGGTTTAAAAGGTTTAAAGGGTTTAAAGGGTTTAAAAGGTTTAAAAGGCTTAACAGGCTTAAAAGACTTAAAAGGTTTAAAAGGCTTAAAAGACTTCAAGACTTAAAAGACTTAAAAGGTTTAAAAGACTTCAAAAGAATTCACCAGACTTTCCCTGTTTTCCCTATTTTATTAGGTTTGAGTTGAGGACTTTAAAAACAAGAAATTCTAAAAGTTTTCCTGTAAGGTGTTTTGAGATTTCAATGATAACGAAAAGAAAGCCTTCAATTTCTTTTTTCGAAAAAAAAGCCTTCAATTTCTTTTTCAAAACGATCTTCAACTTGTTTTGATTTTCTTATTATTAGATTTTAGCCAACATCTGAGAGATTTCAACTACTGCAAATCGATCTTTCCCAAAACTCCTTCTCAATTCTCTCATTTCAGATTCTTGCCCGTATTTCCCTATGCGTGATTCTCTCGGTGAACGTTCTCACGGCTCTCAATGTCTGTTGCCGAATGCGAGATGGGCAGAGGTAAAGAAAAGAGAGGAAAAACGGGAAATCTTTAAATCTTGAAATCTTCAAACTATTAACATAACCAAAATGTTTTCTGCTCTCCAAGATTTCTGATTTGTTATTTTTAAAAGAATTTCCTAGTCATTTCCAATCAAAAAAACCTTCTCTTCTCAATTTAGACCTCATTTTTCGAGTTTCAGAATAAAAATTTCCCCTTTTCACGTATCGATTATCGCTTGGTCATTTGGGGGAAATTTTTATAACATTTCGATAATCGATAAAGAATATGGGAAAAAGATAACTACCGTAAATACTATAATTGGACCCCACCTCCCTCGTACAGTCGCGTAGTCACAAAAGTTTTTTAGTATTTCATTTTTTGCAAAGCACCCGTACTTTCAAAAAGTGCGTCTTTGGTATCAAAAAATAGCTGAAATTCAGGGCTATTTTTTGATACCTAAGCGCGCATTGTAGCATAAACGAGTGTCGAGAAAAACGCGTTCAAAGCTAGACTACGCAACACACCACACCGTCATTATGGGGGTGGGGTACTATTACAGTATTTACGGTAATCCTTTATGCATAGGGATTTTTGTAAATCCTGGATGTCACGAGATAGAACGGAACAGTGAAAATGGCAAGCTTGGCTAGTCATAGCTTTAGGGAATTTTAGAGGGAAATAGCTAGGTACGGAGTTCTGTAGCTGGGAAAAGCAGCACTTTATAAACGCTCAAACTCAAACTGCAAAATTTCATTTTGCAGTTGCGCCTCAACACTGATGATTCACGTCATTTGGAAGATCATTCTGTGTACGGTTTTGATGCCAACTGTTGCCCTATTTTCTTTCATTCGTTTCGAGGTACGGTAGTCAGGGTTTTATTTTAACAGACCAAAGTAGATTTTACAGTAGAATAGAATAAGTGAATACTCTTTTTACGTCTAAATATTCATTTATCTTTCTTTTTTTCTTGAACCCAAATCCATTAAAAATGCATTACCCAAAGAGAAAAGGAGACCAATTTAGAGCCTCATTATGGGAGAAAATTATCGGGAAATAAAGAAAGGAAGAGGAAAAAGAAAAGTAAAAGAAATGAAAAGGAAAAATTCGATTAATTCTAAAGTTTAATGAAATTTGGCTTAACTTTCTTGAGCTAATACTACATAAAACTACAAATGGGTAGACAGATATTTTTAGATCCTGATCGGGTACGATAGCTAGCTAGTAGAGTTAGTAGAGTAAGTAACGAGCTAGTAGAGTAAGTAGCTAGCTAGTAGAGTAAGTAACGAAAAACGTTAGCGGGACATTAGTGTCAGGGAATCCTGTAGTCACTTGCTGGGGTAGCTGGAGTGCTTTTGAACAGCTCCATAACAGCTCTAGAACTTGTCAATACTGTCAAATTACAGGAATACATCAACTCCTGGCCATCGCGATGGTTGGGCGTGAAAATCTTGATGTCTTTGTGGTTGTACTCGGTGTTCTCTGTTGGATCAATTGGTGAGTTCATCGTCATTTTCTATTTCCTTGAAAATTCTCTCGTATACAAGTGCTGTGCGTTCCAGATTGAGTAAAAGATTGACGAATTTAGTGCTATTGGCCGGGCTAGCTCGAGGAATGTGGGCAAAAAAAGCTCGATTGCGTCGAAGTAGTGTCGACAGTAAAATTTGCATAATTGGTGAGTATCGAAGGTTTCAATTTGAGTTATTAGATGAATTTGAGGTTCATCGATGAGCAACGAGTTGGTTACTCTATCTTCGATTGATTTATTTACTGGTCAACATTCTTGAAAAAAATTCTTCAAATCTGGTGCTTGATCTCACTTATTCTTCGCCAATTTTCCAAGAAACGAACAAAAAGAAATGTCGCAAGAATTGCTCAATTTGAATAAAGCTTTTGCTAAAATGAGAGTTGAAAAGGGAATTGCTTGTATATTGTTTTCAATTCGAGTCTAGAAAGGACAAAATCATGACTGAAAGCTTTGAGTAGCCAAGCCACCAGCCAGCGGAAATATTGGAACCATATTGGAACCACATTGCCAACCATACAGCCATCCACAGCGAGCCAGCCATCGGAACCATACAGGCAACCAGCCAGCCAGCCATTTTCATTCTTCCATTTTATCTCGTGACATCCAGGATTTACAAAAATCAAATAATTTCAGCAATTTCTAATGGTGAGCACGCTAGACGAGCGAGATCATATAAAACCAGGCCAAAACTAACCAAATGACAAGTTTTTTTCAGTTTTTTGAACTTTTAGAGTCTAGAGAGTCAAGCCAAAGAATTAATTAAGCATTTCTTGTTTGCAAAATCACTCAAATTCATCAAGTATTCTCGAATGCAAATAGACGAATGGAATACTCCCAAAAAAAAAAGAACAATTTCATGTAAATGAGGTGTCATTTCTATTAGAGAATGTCATTCTAATAAAGCATTTACGATATCTAAAGTCGTATCGATAACTTTAGCTCTAAAAGAAGTTCTAAAAAGTCTCGATTTTAAGGAGTCAGGAATGGTTTTCTGTTTCTCATGTTAGGTCTAAGCTCATCGAAAACCAAAAAAAATGATCAGCCTCTAAATCATACACAAGCCAAATGTATAGTTGTGTCCAAAGTACCCAAGTCCTTCCAAACACGTCAAACATTCCAATTGTTAGGCTAATTGTTTGTGTCAAGCAAGTAAATTGACAGTGATTGAGGTCAAATTGAGGCTTCTTTGACAGCCCACCCAAGGCATCAAATTTACATTTTATTGACAGCTCTAGTTCCGGTCAAATCACTTCTTTGCCATCTATTGCTATACCCTTTTTCCTATTCAAATCACGGGCAATTTGTCACGGCAAACGCTTCCGATATGGGTTTCGTTGTTGGGGAAAAGGGAAAGGGAAAGGAAAAGGAAAAGGGAAAGAAAAAGGGAAAGGTTTACTCAGAAAGAAGGTGCTTTGAGTAATCGCTGAGAATTTTTTTTGGTTTCTGGAGGGATTTACTAGAAGATTTATGGTAAACACAAAATTGGGAAATGTTTTTGAGGAAGATTTACGAGCTGTAGTTGAATTTGAGTCGAGGTTCAGGATTCGAAAGTTTTAAAATCACTTTGCTTTGCCTCTTGTAGTAGTTAAACAGAAACAAACCGCTTCATCAAGTCGTTGCACAGCTGTCGATGCGTGTTCAAGAGCGCTGAGAAAAGCGTTGGAGACGCCGAGACACGCCAACTCTGACTCGACTAATTGCACCAATTCGGCGGCTCTCCTGAAAATTTTTTGATTCCATAAAGTAATCTAATGGTTTGAAATGGTCCTGCTATTGTTTGGTCAGCTTTTTTTCTTAAACCTAGTGAACTAATTGTTCAAGCAAACCTTGTAAACGGTGTATCTTCGATTGCTAATGCTGTGGGCGTTGATGGAGCAGTCGATTTCTCTCTTTTGTTATCCCATTTCTTTAAACATGCCTCAAAAGCCGGATTTCGAACCAAGAGCTGAGCTCGATTCTTGTGTTGAATCATGAGCACACCCGGGGATTGTGACCATGGTTCACCGTCGACTTGTACCTAGAAAATGAAGATCATTGTCATAAAATGAAAGACAGATTGCTAGCAGCTTGTAAAAAGTTGTCTAATTATAGTCTAATTACAGTTTATCTAGCTGGTAAGTCAATTCAACCAATCTTATCAGCTGAATAGTTTTTAGTGACAAGAGATTATGATTTACAGTACGTTTAGATGCTCAATTCTTAAAGCAACTCACCGGAATCGGCTCATCTCCAATAATCGTGATTCTCACTGTTCGACACTGGGCCAAGCGATGATTTTGGAGTCGAACCATATTTGGGACACGAGATGTGGCAACGTGAATCACACCAAATAGAGCAACAACCTGTAAAAGACTAGCTCTTATAAATTTCTCTGACAAGGTTCACTTAAGAATAGACTCTAAACCTGATCTAGTTTACCAATTAGAGTCAAAAACATTTCAAGATTTACCTCTAGCAATCGATCATCATACGATTGTGGCTGAAACACATCATCTTTACCGGATCCCCAAAAGTTCGCACCACCCGAATATGAGGGAATATTGAGGATGACGATACCTTGAAGGTTCGGCAAATCGATCACTCGACCATCGCATTCGAGTCTAAAATTAGCATTTAGCTTGGTTTCTTGGTTATTAAAAGATGCCTTTTTACGAGTATTTCATTGTTTTTTTTGAATATCTTGAGCTATTTGTTCAATTATGCTAGAGCTAGAGCTAGCCAATTATGATAGTTCTGTCGAAATACTGTAGAAGTACCATAGAACGGTACTGTAGCCTATAGAAGTATAGGTTGACTTGCTCTAGTTGTTTATCCAAGTCTTTTTTAAAACTATAATTTTGAATTTAAAAAGCGTAGGGATCTATAGTTGAGGTTATCTTTAAGAATCGATACAATTCCTTCATCATCATCAATTTCTAGTTTTCTTTTCAGTGCTTACACTAGACATGAGAAAATGTCAACCCGAGCCTAATTCCACGCTTGTAATCGGCTTGTAATCGAGGGTAGCCTAATTCCACCTTCGTTTTCTCAGCCCTTTTCTTAGCCGAAAATTGCTCTGAAATTTTGTCTACAAGCTGAAAATGTTGATTTCTATCTGTAGACAAAATTTCCGAGCAATCGGCCAAGAAAACGCAGGTGGAATTAGGTTCGACTTGGAATTTTTCCATGTCTAATAACTAGCCCATATGGCATTTACTCTATAACTACTAGCAGTACAGTAGACAGTATACAGTAGACATAGACACAGTTACAGTAGACCGTAGAGGGCTTCTAAGCCGTAGATCTACCGTACCCTGTACCTACCGTGAGCCTATCGTACCCGTTGCATGTCTGCTACCTACCATATACGTTTACTATACAAAAATAGTTGATATACCGTATCCGTTGCTCCAAATTCTTATACGTGCGATGCATCAACTCTTTCCCGCCCAACATCCCGTACCAAAGGAAAAGCTTGGAGCGACTTCGAGTCTAAAATTCGATCTTTGAAAAGGTAGATTGAAAAATGGAAAGAAAAATTCGGAAATGCTGAATAGCAATTTTGCAAACCTTATCCGAGTCCTCTTCTCGTTTATTGTGAAAATCGAGAGCAATCTTTGCATCCAAACCAATCCCAAAATAATTGTTCATCACTTTAAGCTCTTTGTATTGATCTCTGAAAAGAATAAAATTGAAGATGATGAAAAAAAAAGAATTTCAATGCTTTTCACACTGCTATTTTGCTGTTTGCTAAATGTGCTAAATGTTCAGATAGCTACCGTCTCCAGCCATTCTTTTGCACCGTATTCTTCTCTCCTAATCATTGCCTATCGTAGTTACGTTTCAAGAAATAAAGATATAACAAACGTTCGAGATATAACAAAATAATTAGAATGATTTCCAAATTGTACACACTTGATATTCACTCCATGCGCGGCATCAGAGTTCGCAAAACCGAGCACTTTCGCATTCAACAGCAACAATTCGGCGATCAGCGAGCTGCCCGTTGTGGCTCCAGGGGAGATGAGGTGTCTTCAAAAGAGAAAAAAAAACGGATTAACAGGAAGAATTTGTTGAAACATATACCTATATACCTAGAGAATACATATACATACACCTAGAGAACTGTTTCAACTTCTCACCGATTTTCGAAACCAAATCTAGCTACAAAACGCTCACGTAGAATTCTAAGAAACACATATTTTTTCCCATCAGCTCTGGTTTTTAAGAAAAATGTGTCCAAAGTTTCGGCAATTTTTCACAAACTTCACCTATAAAAGGGCGCTTACTGCCGAAAGGCCGTAAATGCGGCGGCAGCCTAGGGGATAGTGTGCTAGACTCTGAAATCTATGCCATTTTTGCTCGTGGGTTCAATCCCGCTTGCCGCTAAATTTTTCACTTTTTTTGTCACAAGTATAAAAAACGCTTTTTGTGGTAAGTTGAAACGAATTCCCTAAGTGAAGTTTAGAAGTTTTAAAATTTAATATATTGGCTAGTTCTTTTGCACAACATTTCAACTCAATTAGGACACGAATTATGAGTTTTGAATTCACAGCAACACTTGTTTCATTATAGAATTTTATACTGTACATTTTTATTAGTTTACCTAGCCTGTGGTGCTTCGACGACGGATCGCTTTTTGCCCTTTATCCGGTGACTCCACGCAACAGCGCCTGGGGTTCGCGGGGTGAGGATTACGTTTGATGTTGATGGCACTTCGCCGGAGTGATCTAAAATAATCTTTGTTTAGAATGAGGGTTTTTTTAAAAGTCTTGTCCTTATTTTATAAGTTTTAAAGCTGGTAAGCTGATGTCAGCTTTCAAATTTCAACTGGATCCGAGCCAGGCCGAGCCAATCAAGAACCAGACTTGATCAAGACCCGATGCCACTAATACTTGCAGATTTAGAGTCAAAGTTGAGATCATCTACCTAGTGTTATTGCTAGTGAAAGAGCTGAAGCCGCTTCCCTAAGAGTTAGTTTTGTTCTTTTTAAATAGTTTTGTTCTGTTCCTAATAGTTCCAAAAGTTCTGGTATCTGATTCACCTTAGCAGGCTAACTTAATCGTAAGCAAACCATTTGCTAGCGAAAAGAAAGAGTTGAAGCAGTTCCCCTAAGAGTTAGTTTTGTTCTGTTTCTAATAGTTTTGCTCTAGTTTTGTTCTGTTCCTAATCGTTCCAAAAGTTCTGGTATCTGATTCACCTTAGTAGGCTAAATGAATCCTAAGCAAACCATTTCAATAGTAATCCCTACCATTTTAAGATCAATTTCTTAGCAATCAAAAATTTCCCTCACCATAAATACTACTATCCGAGTGTGAGAGTTTGATTTCGCCGCCTCCTTGCGTGTACAAATGACTCTCTGACGAGGGTTTGAATAAGCGATCGGGTCGTCCTGAAAATAATTCTATAAAAGATAACGTTCAGGATTTTCAACCTATAATCTGTTCTCTTGTAATTCCATCATATTCTTGTTCTTTGATTAAATCTCGGTGATCTATCCGAAAGTCGTCGGGCCACATCGCTGACTGTTCGCGGGATGAGGCGGCTGGAGTTGGTGGTTGCACACCGATGCTGAATCTAAAAAAAATTTCGATTTTCTATTAGCCATGGAGTTAATTGTATCCCCGTTCTCTTAAGCTTTCAATATAAACCTTACCTCAATGACTCCAATTGCTTAACAAGTGGTTCTGCTTCTGTCCCTGACACCTCAACATGTGGGGATCGACTGGCGGCCGAGCGATCAGGTGAATTGCCTGGAAAATCCTTGAGTCATTTCTTAGTTCAGAAGTTAAAATAGATTGGCTAAACTTAAGAATAAAGTAAGAATAATAGTGCTAAAGATGTAATAGCATGGAATTATCCAAAAAAAATCAATCTCTATTTGCTTCTACTATTAAGCTGATGCATATCTTTACAATTTTTTTCCAAATCTTTATTTTCATGGAGAAGAATTCTTTACCAAATTTGTACTAACCAAACTATTAAAAAGGTCTATAATTTCTTTACAAAATGGCTTTTAAAAAGAAAGAGCTCAAAGCTCGCCTCAACTCAGTAAAAAAAAAGCATTTTTTTGTAAAATTTTCAATTACTGTTTTAAAGAAAATGGCTGAACAGATTGTTTTCAAATTTTACAAAATTATGTAACCAAATGAGCTCTATCTTTTTTAATTTGATTCCAAAATAAATTTGTATTGAAGAAAGTGTGCAAATTGTGGCTTCAGCATCGAAACAGTCGGCATTTGGGTGCTCGCTTTTGCGCCTTTAACACATTCGCGACGAGGCGTTTTTTTTGCGTTACTGCCCCAGTGGACGAGGGGTGTCTCGCAAAGCTCTTAGCCCCGAAATACACCTTCTGTATGTAAAATTTCATACTGAATCCGACTCTCTAATCATATTTTGAAAATATGGCTGCCTCAAAAAGAACTAATCGAATCTTTTTACATTTTGAAATAGTCTTAAAAAGTTGAGAAGTTATAGCGCGTCAAAAATTTCGTCCACCGGTGGACCGAACCGTCCCAGGGGCCAGACGGCCTTCGTCCACCGGTGGGCCGAATCGTCCCAGGGGCCAGACGGCCTTCGTCCACCGGTGGATCGAACCGTCCCGAACGTGTTAAAAATCCACAAAAACAACTACTTTCAAGAATTTCTTAAAAGCCATTTTCCAGAGAAACCATTAACCTTTTTAATAGTTTAAACAGAAATTTTATTGGTGACGGTATTATTTTTAAAAGAAGTTTGGGAAAAAAATCAATGCATCAATCTAATACAATAATGGCACTCACCCAATCCACTCGTGTGTCCCTCATCCTCTTCTCTCACCATTAAACGATCCGTTTGATAGTAGTGTTCGTGTTTCTCGGTGTTTGGTGAGTGCTCGTGATCACCGCGTTTTATATATTTCCCTCGTACTGGATCCAATTGTGGAGATGGTGATGGTGGAGGAGAAGTGGCTGACGAAGAGGAGAGATTCGAGTTGGATACCTGAAAGAACTTTCAATAAAATGAAAAAAGTGTGCCAGAAAGCAGAAAGACAAAGAATTTCTATAGAAAAATCTCTTTCTTATCATTTAAAAACTTTTCCTATAAACGAAAGGTGACCTTTAACGCCGATGGTGTCGTCTTGCTGCGTTTCTTCCGGAAGCGCTCTCGTTTCGTTGAGGCTCTATAAAAGCTTTAGATTTAAAGTCAATATACAAATTTCACTTGTTATCCGAATAATTATCGATTCCTCTTTCAGCCATATCCATCATTTCTTTTAAAGCTTTCTTTAAGCTGTTCGCTCGTCCAACAAGCGATTCTCGACGTGATCGCTCATCATCGCTGTCTCGAGCACTAAATTTAGATTAAATTAGATAAATTGAGAGAGATAAGGAACCGAATTTAGATATAAGGAACCAAATTTAGAGATAAGGAACCGAATTTAGAGAGATAAGGAAACAAATTTAGAGAGATAAGGAACCAAGTTTAGAGAAATAAGGAAGCAAGTTTCAAATTTGGGAAGCTAAGGTACCAAGCTTAGAGAGATAAGGAACCAAATTTATAGAGATAAGGAACCAAATTTAAAGATAAGAAACCAAATTTAGAGATAAAGAACCAAATTTAGATAAATTAGATAAATTTGTGTTTAGAACATATAAATCTAACATTATTTTTAAGATAATATAAATGTTTTTAACTTCCCCACACCTCTCATCATCATTTTCTGGCTCAAAACCGCTCTCCTCAACCGTCGGCGACTCGCCCAACTCTTTCATCAACAAATCGAGTTTCGCAAGAAAAGTTGAACATCTAAATATAAAATTTTAGATAAAAATGTGCTTAATAAGATCTAATCTAGTACTTTTCCGATATTGGATCATCGGTCGGTGTGCCGGCTTGTGCCTCCCATTCCTCCACTTGTCCATATGTGGCAGCGACTTTTTCGATCAACTCTCGAGCCGTGATGCACAACTTTCTAAAGAATATTTAATGTTTAAATAAAAAGTTAGAATTTTAATGTGTATTTCAATTAAAAAAACCCTCACTTTGAAGCCTCGATAATCCTTCTCGGTTGCTCGGCACTCAACACAGCCTCAACCCTGGTCGCCAGTTGTCTCTCGTATTCTCTAACCGCATCCACGTACTCGTCCTTCATCGCCATGATGCTCCATCTGGAATTCAGATGAGATACATTGCAAACAACTTTATTAAAAAGAAAATCATGGCTTGAGCGGTTGATTGCCGTTTTGTTTTACAGATTTGCTTGTGCAAAAGCCAACAAATCCTCTACACCAATTCTATTATTTTAGCCGGAAAGGGGAGTGGGACAAATGCGACCTTTTTTTTGCGCACCCGGACATTTGCGCACCTTTTTTTCCGCACCTTGCCCATTAGCGCACCTTTTTTCTCTCTAAAGCTCTAAAAAGCTAATATTAACCAATTTCTATTCCAAAAGTTGTTTTTCTAGGTAATTTTAGGGTGTAGAATCGAAATTTTGACATATCAGAGCTTGTGGAAACAAACGAACGGAGTTATACAAAGAGAAAAATCGACAATTTTCTGTAATTTGACCTAGCCGTTTTGTCTTTCAAATTAGAGCCGTTTTGTCTTTCAAATTGTTCCACACGCTTTGTTATGTCAAAATTTGAAGTCGACACCTCAAATTACCTAGAAAAACAACATTTAGAATAGAAATTGGTTAATATTAGCTTTTTAGGGCTTTTTTAAAACGCGAAAAAAGGTGCGCTAATGGGAAAGGTGCGGAAAAAAAAGGTGCGCAAATGTCCGGGTGCGCAAAAAAAGGTCGCATTTGTCCCAGTCCCCAAAAATGACGAGCCCCGCATTATAGTGGAGTGGGACAAATGGGGCATTTGTCCCACTCCCCCGGAAAGTCTTGTCGATCTTTTTGGAAATTTTCGTTTATAAAAATAATTAGCTGATCAACGTTTGATTTGCTTTAAATAAAAAAAAGATTAACTACTACATTTAGCTTTTTTAGGCAAATTTAAGTCCATTTTGAAGCAAATTTGAACGGGAATTCTTGTTTTTTTCCTTACAATGATCATAGAATAAAAAAGTTTTGGTGAAATGTTATGAAAATTTGTCTATTTGTTTAACTTTTTATTCTCTATCTTTTGTCTTTTAAAAACAAAATAGATTTCTGTAAGAAAAAGTGCTCAAATCAAAAAATTTCATCGTTTTTTACTGCTCGACTTTACAACTTTAAAAAAAAGTTAACTAACGCGAGCTTTTCAGAATTTCTGAATAAATAATAGGAATTTTTGATAAAACAAAGCATAAATCAATTAGTTCAAAAAAGCTGACAAGACTTCTCGGCCAACCTGAGTCCGTTAACAAGCTCGATCGTTCCCTGTTACCTGTCCAACATTGTCGTATGCGCCCGTTGAAATGTTCGAACAAGTTGTGGCAATTGTGTATCATCGTAGAAAGCGTGTCCCCAACCAAGCACACGAGCCAGATCATTTCCGGTACCAATTGGGAGAACGGCGAGTTGACACTGGAAAAGTGAAATGGGTTTTATGATCCACTCATCAGATAAATATTTACTGATTTTAAAGAACAAACCTTTCCGAGCATATTCAATCGATCACACGTGCTCAGCACCCATCCAACCGTTCCGTCACCGCCACAAACCAACACTCGAAATGAGTCGAAACCATTGAAGAATGTAAGCCTGAATTTTTAGATTTTGTCTAACTGGATCCCAGGGCTTCAGCTAAAGCTTTAAATTTAAAGACAAACAGCTACTAAGCTTGTTTTGAGGACAAACAGCTACTAAGCTTGTTTTAAAGACAAACAGCTACTGAGCTAGTTTTGCAGGTAAACAGCTACTAAGCTAGTTTTGAAGACAAACAGCTACTGAGCTAGTTTTGAAGACAAACAACTCACGCAAACTCGGGTCCACCCAGACAAATGTCGAACACTTGAATGGGATTGAGGAGGCGTCGAAATTTTCGAATCATTCTTTGTCCCTGACTGTCGCCCGATTTACTGTTGACGAGGACGAGTAGAGGCGATCCACCACCACATTCACCACCAATCGCTTCAGAGCGGAGGATCTAAAAGGGTTTAGAATCAATGTTTACATGGTAAATAAGGTAGCCAGGCACTGTAAGAAGTACTTAGATCCTATGAAGTTTTTATTTCTCAATTTCTATCCTATTTTATTTTCTTTAAAAAACATGACATCCAATTCGCCTAAAAAACTGATCAAATCTTTAAATCAATTTATTTTATTTCTTTTAAAGCAATGACATCCAAGCTAAAGACGTCTCAAATTTTAAATCACTCAATTTCTATCCGATTTTATTTCCTTTAAAAACATGACATCCAGTTTACCCAAAAAAACCCACCGGATGTCCATCTCTGTCGATCGTTCGCAGCGATAACGGTGGGAGAACGGATAAAGAGGCGGGTCCAAGCGAGCATCCCCGAGCCAATTGTGATAGACAACCGTCATGCACACAACAAGCACACCAAAGACATCGCCAGTCCTAAATCTTGAGATTTAAAGGAAAATTCCCCAATTGTTACCTGTAATTTGAGCACCGAGCTGCAGGCTTTCTCGCAAACTGTGCACTTAGAGGACATCGGGAGATTCCCCTCGACGAATTGGTGTGGTTGAGTGGTGTTCTAAAGTTTCGAGGTGGGGGAAATGGAAATCGACTGCCTTACCTCGGGGTTGACATATTGTAGCTGTGGTGGGATGCTCGATTCGATCGTCCACTTGCACGGTTCACGCACTTTCTCCGCGCAATGCTTGTGAGCTTTCACTTTGCAGACTGAATTTGTTTCTATTCTAATTTTACATACATTATTTATGAGTTGTGTCTTTTTTCCGTCAATTAAAACAAGATAAATGAAAATTTGCATGTTTGTTTGGGGGGGGGGGGGTAGGCTAGTTTCTGCAACTCGCCATAACTTTCTTCTAAGTGGGCCAATCTTTATGATTTTGGTGTCATTTTGTAGATCTCAATAAGTGCAACAAAATGAAACCAACATCATAAAGATTGGTCGACTTCGAAGAAAGTTATGGCGAAAAGAAATTGCCGAAATTACCCCAACGAGTTTAATTGTTTGAAAATTTTTTTTTTTAAACAATTAGTTGTTTAGTTGTTTAGTTGTTTAAACAAACAATTAGTTAAATTTAAGCTAAATTTGAAATTTCGATACTTATTGATTAAACGGCTCGTTTTTAAGGCAATGACTTGACTTTGATGGGACAAACCAAAGAGACGCATTGCGAATAGTGTCATATAAAATTTAGAATCATATAAATTTAAGTTTAAAAAGTGTTTGTTGCATTCAATTTTAATTTTATATTATTCTACGGCCAATCTTTATGATTTTGGGTTCATTTTGTTGCACTTGTTGAGATCTACAAAATGAAACCAACATCATAAAGATTGTGTCACTTAGAAAAAAAGTTATGGCGAGTTGCGCAAACGACTCTCACCCTTTCTGGAGCACTTGAATTTTGGCTTTCCCAGTGAAAAGAATAGGAAAATCTCTATGCAAGATGCGTTTACTCGTTAGATTTAGACAGAATTTGCCTTCAAGTCTGTCTCGAGTCCAAAGAGCCGTGAAATTGTAACAATTCTGTAAGAGCTAATTAAATCTATGCACAAAGCACACTCGTTAAGTTGACCTAGTTGCGCAAATAACTCTGTTGCGCAAAAAAAAGTTGCGGGAACTAGCCTCCCTAGTTTGGTACTAAGGGACTTTTTTTTCAAATGTAGACTAGTGATTGATTACGGTAGTTTTTGAAAGTAGAAGTGTCCCTTAGAAAATGAAATAGCTGAAAAGTTGATTGAAGAAAAGAAAAGTGATTTCTAAAAGACCTGAGGAAATACTGTAATAGTGCCCCACCGCCCTTGTACAGTCGCGTAGTCGCAAAAGTTTTTTAGTATTTCATTCTTTTTCAAAGCGCCCGTACTTTCAAAAAATGTGTCTTTGGTATCAAAAAATAGCTGAAATTCAGGGCTATTTTTTGATACCTAAACGCGCATTGTAGCATAAACCAGTATCGAGAAAAACTCGTTCAAAGCTAGACTACGCAACGCTCCGCACCGTCATTATGGGGATGGGGTACTATTTACAGTATTTATGGTAGGGAAATGGGTGGAAATGTAATTGACAAAGTTGAATCGGAATTGGGGACACAGCGAGAAACTTTAATTGATTAAGCATTAGGCTCGACTTTTGTAGACTTTTGTAGCGGTGAAATTGTTAAATTCTCTGCCCCTTTTTTGCTTTCCTTCTCACCCACCTTCACATCCCAATCCATGCCATGGCACTCCACTCAATTTCCCGCGACAATAATTGCAGAAAGTCGGTCGATGATGGTTGACTGTGTACCAGTGATGATCACCCGATGATGAAGCGATCACATTGTCGATGGCTGTCTAAACAATTTGTCTAGATCAAATCCCCTTTTCTCACTCACCAATGATGCCTCATGGTGCCCATTCAAGCCACTCAATGACTTTGACGAGCTCGGTGGATCGTTCATCTTTTCGCAAGATCTGGAAAACGATTTTTGGCAGTTTTGGAGCGCACACTACAATTTGAATAGCATCAGGACAATTATCAGACCAATTAGGACATTGTGGAATTGAAAAACGAAATCAATTGATTAAACAAAGCATACAATTATTGATCGGGGATTTCAGTGAGAGAATTGTTCATCCTGGCAAAGGCAAAGACTAACCCTATATCGTTCTGTCTCGTTTCCGTCCTTCCCCTCGTTGTTGGTGTGCGCCGTGTCGTCTCATCGGCTCAACAGCATGTTTTTCGTAATTTTCTGAAATCCTAATTGATGAATCCTTCAAATTGGATGTCACAAGAGATTTCAAGAATAAGAAATGATCATTTTGAGGGAAAATGGGGCAAATTGTTGTCAGCTCCCTTGGCCAAGATTGTAGCTAATTGAGGTATTGACGCAAAAGGTCCAGAAGTCCGAAAGAGGTCCAAAACAATGGAATCTTACTACAAAAAATCGTGAATGACATCCAGGATGGCGGGGAAATAAAACGGGCAAATAATGAATGAAGATGGGGAAAATTTTCACGATTAGTGCTCGTGAATCGACATATTTCCCCCACTCCGAAGAAAGATTGAGAAAAGTGATAAATTTTTCTATTTTTTTCGCTGCTATGCATTCCAGAATGATGATTCGTTGTGGGTGAAAAGCGAAAAACGAATGCCAAGTCGAGAAAAATTCAGAGTGAAACGATTGCGTTTTATTTTCGATATTTTCAGGCTTAAGTGAATGTTTTAAAGGATTCGATTCGAAAATCTGGAAGTCACAACAGGGAAATACAAGAAAAAAATGTGGAAAATGCAATTTTTAAAAATCAGAAAATTACATTAAAATTTACATTTAAAAATTAGCATTTAAAAAAAGAACAATTAGCATTTATAAAAGAAAATTAGCATTTAAAAAAAGAGGAATTAGCATTTAAACGTCGAAAAGTGTCGTTTTTTTTGATTTTTCATCAAAGAGCACTCTGAAACTTAAACAAATAAATGAAAATAGGGGAATTTTAAGGATTAGTGACGAAAATTGAAAAGTTTGTCGGTCGCGGGAGGCAAATTTTCAGCGTTGATCCCCGGGAATTTGCAGCTGCTCTCATTTTCGGGAATGAAAAGGCACGAATTTGGGACTGGACTCAAAAATTCGCTTTTTCTATTGATTTTTGAAAATTTTCGAAAAGAATCAGCAATTATGGACGTCACACTAGTGAATTGAACAGAAATAGGGAGAAAATTTTGGATTTTGAAAGATTGATGTTTTTGATATTTTTGGCTATTACCGTCGACTATTCTGAGCTCAGAAATGACCTTTTTCGCGAAGATTTTCGCGAAATCTTTTTGGATTAGACAAAATGGGTGGCTGGATATTGAATGAAATAGTTAAATAGAAAAACATTCGCTAATCCCGAGAAACCTTTTTCGATTTTGGCCTTTGAGACGGGTTTTTGATGCGATTATCTTCTGAAATGAGAAAAATTTCGAAAAATCCCAAAAATTTTAAATCAAATCGCCTTTGTGCGTGCCAGCTTTTCAGGAAATACAAAAATTTTGTCGAAATTGAGCCAAGGAAGTCGGGTAATTCGCCCAGTCTCGCTACTTCACTGAGAGAATTTTGTCTTTTCACAAAAATCTCTTTCTTGAATCGAAATTAGATAGCATGATATCCAGGATTGGCATAAACATCAAAAGAATTTTGATATTTGAGAAAATTGGCTTGAACCTTGTGTTAATCTCGAGCCGCTATCAGGCGTTTCTTCGCAACAACCGACAAACAACTCCTTCTCGGTTGGGGGGTTTTTTTTAGGGTTATCTTCGCTTTTTCTCACCAATAGAAATGGAGAACATAATAAGAAACGAGAAAGAAAAGAAAAGAAAAAAATGTTGGTATTTAGGAGAATTGTTGTAGAAAGCTGACAAATTAGAAAACTAGATTTAGAAAAATAAACCAAAGCGTTTAAAGGATCAATGGGAAATTTAAAATAAACAATTTTTGAAGTGAAATTGAAAGAAAAAGGAAAGAAGAATTTCAACAAAAAGGCCCGAATTTGGATGATTGATTTTGGGTGGGAAGGGAAATGCATTTTCTGGGAATTTTGATCGACAAAAAGGAGAAACAAAAGCTTTTGCTTCAATCGATTCTCCTATACTAGAATAAGCTAAAGAACAAGGAAATGTTTGTAAACAAAATAGAGTTTATCTTTTTCAAGTTTATCTATAAAAGAGGCAAAGAATTCATTGTCAGGACAATTTTTTTTGAATTTTTCTAAACGCCAATGTTTTGGTGCATTGAAAGTGAGTAAGGAAACGCTTCTCTAAAGGAAAATAGTTACATTTCACAAACAAAGATCTTATAAATGAGTGTTTCACGAGTTGAAATTCAGAAGTTGAAATTGATCAGTTGAAATTCACAAGTTGAAATCAAAAACAGTAATTCTACCTTTGATTCTCAATGAAAAGTACAGCGTTTTAGTATCGTTGAATCCTTTTGTACAGAGATTATTATTATAAATGAAGGAAACTTTCTTCCTCTACTTCCTCTACTTCTTCTAGGAAAGCTATTTTGAATGCATTTTTTGCTAATTAGATAGATTTTTAATTGAATATAGGAAAATGAAGCAAAGATCTGAAGAATTTCGAAAATAATAAAAACTTTAAACCGGAAAAGATTAAGGAAACGGTAAATAAAGGATCTAAATCAAAAGGAAAATAGTTTCAAATAGTTAAATTTTACAAATCAGATCTTATAAATGAGTGTTTCGATTGACAAGTTGAAATCAAAAACACTAATTCTATCTTTGTACAGCGTTTTAGTATCGTTGAATCCTCTTGTACACTGATTATTATTATGAATAAAGGAAAACTTTCTTCCTCTACTTCCTCGACTTCCTCTACTTCCTCTATTTCCTCTACTTCTTCCCTGAAAGTTATTTTGAATGCATTTTTTGCTAATTAGATAAATTTTTGATTGAATATAGGAAAATGAAGCCAAGATCTGGAGAATTTCGAAAAAATAAAAACTTTAAACCGGAAAAGGAGACTGTTGCAAAAGGGGAAAGGCTTAAAAAAGAAAAATTTGAGAAAAAAAAACGAAAAGATTTTTATCAGTAGCCTGCCTAGTACCAAAAAAAAATGAGGGAAATTGAGGGGAATCTTTGCGAAAAAATCATTTGATGACGTCACTTTTAGGGGTAAACTTTCCGGGGTTTAAAATGAACCGCCCAAAAATAGTTTTAATGTTTTAAAGTCAGCATGAAATAATCCTTGGTTTTCGTCACTCAATGGAGGCTTACATTGCTTGATTTTGCTTCATGAGGATTGCTTCATGGGGATTGCTTCATGAGGATGTGGTGAGCTTGAATCATGTCAAACAAATATTGTCGATTTTTTGCAGGCAGGCTTGGCTGAAGCCAGACTAAGCCTTGATTGTCAGACAGCTTTAGCCTTGATTGATTTGGTTTTGCAGAATCCCTGCAAACTAGAGGCTTGGCTTAGAGATCCGGCTGGAACAATATTACCGGATCAAGCTTTGGCCTGATTTCTGATCTTCTTAAGCTCTTGGAAAATCAGCTAAGCTTTCAATTTCCTTTGTTTTTGCCTCTTTGATTCATTCTAGAAGATTCAGTGTGGAAACGGGACGAATTAAACAAGGAGAACTAAAGAAAAGAGTTCACACAATTTCTAGGGTTTTCTTTTATATAAAGGGTCACTTTTTCATTGTCAATTGTTTATCTGGATGTCACAGTTTCTGATTTCGGAGTTGTTATATTGATTGGAAACTATTGTCAAGATGTCAATTTCAAAAACAATATTCAAAAACGACAATATAAGAAAAAAAGAAAATGGAGAAGAATAAAAGAATAAAAGAATTCCTTTTTCACCTTTCACATTCACACTCAAGTGCCCAATAAATGGGTTTGAGGAAAGAAAAAAAAGGATTGGAAAGGATTTGGGGGTTTTGAATGAAATTGGGGAGCTCTGAGATCAGCTCTGAGATCGTTCAATTCTTGAATCTCTTGATTCAGTGTCAATTGTTTATCTGGATGTCACAGTTTCTGATTTAGGAGTTGTTATATTGATACACCTTTCACATTCACACTCAAGTGCCCAATAAATGGGTTTGAGGAAAGAAAAAAAAAAGGATTGGAAAGGATTTGGGGGTTTTGAATGAAATTGGGGAGGCTTTAAATCAGCTAAGATCGTTCAATTCTTGAATCTCTTGATTCGATCCATCGAGTAAGCTTTCATTTCAATGTTTTCCAAATTTAAACACTTGATTTTGCCGTATTTCTTCGAATAGAGGGCGGGGGGGGGTGTGGATAGGGGCCGGGTAGGGTATTTTCGTCTTAGCGCTCTTTTTTTTTTTTTTTTTTTTTCTATGAAGTGCGATAGGGCTGGAAAATACTCCAAAAAAGCACAATGAGCACAACAGCTTTTCTTTTCCCGCTTTTATTGAGTTCTTTTATGCAAAAAAAAAATTTTAAAAAGGGGCCGGCAGGGGGGGGCGAAGATACTTTTCCCTGGGGCTTTTTTGGAGGAACATTCACACTCACACAGTGCTCAATAAATGGGTTTGGGGAAAGGGTTGGGAAAGGATTTGGGGGTTTGATTCAAATTGGGGGGTTTCAATCAAGTTCAGAGATCGTTCAATTCTTGAATCCCTTGCGATCATCGATCCAAATAAGCTTTCATTTCAATGTTTTCCAAATTTAAACACTTGATTTTAGCTAGAAATAGCTAAAATCAAGTGCTAGAAATCAAGCCAAAAACCTTGAATGAGATTTACAGAAAAGAATCTACAGAAAAGAATTTCCAAAAAAAAGCTATACAAAGAAATGAATGAAAGAGCTTGTCAAAAAAGCAGTAGTACTACTACTGCTTTGGTTTGTGTTTGAGACAAGTGTGAGACTCAAAAATGGAGAACTGAAGATGTCCCAGTTCTCCCAGTTTGAGCAAATGAATGAAAGCGCTTATCAAAAA